CCTCAGAGAAGAGGTTATATGTTAGGTTTGAAAAGTTTAATAGATTTGAACTCCAGCAGACTAATTATTCTAAACAGATATTGAATCACTTTCAGCATCAAATAATATTTGATGTAATTACCAGTAAGTTGCCTACTTGAGAATGTGTTAGGAGCCCAAACCCAGTAGCTGGAGAATTAGTACTGAAGATGATGGCGTTTGACAGAACTCCCCAGGTCCGTGGCGCAGGTGGCCACAGCGGGGGCAAACGCGCAACTGCAAGTACAACCCCTGTGGCTGCAGTGCTGTGGCACTCTGGTCACTATATGTAAGTGAAATAATAAGGTCTGAAATACAGTTCATGTCTTAAAGCACTGGCTTAACTAGACAGATTAGCTGTTTGATTGAAATATGTGCATTTAATGTGTTAGATGTAAACACTTCTAAAAGGATGAATAGGGAAATAAGAGTAGCTAATAAAAACACTGACAGGTGCATAACTGGAATCTATTTTAATAGATATATTAAAGGCAGAGAGCTGACATCCTTTCTCTCTCCACCCCTTTCTCAGTTCACACAGGATATATTCAGGACTTGTTTGTGATCTGAGTTGTTTTCTGACATCTGATTAAATATTGAAACACATCAGGCCCCAGTTAAAGATGACCTAGGGCAGCTTTCGCTTGTGCATCAAACCAGCACGTGATTTTAACTATAGCAACAGCTATTCTTTGAAAAAATCAATAGAGTTCTTTTCTATACAACAGTAATACATTATTAGGGAAAAATGTACCAGAAAATATTATCCTGCTGTATTTGTGATAGATTAGCATTTTCTACAATTTTCGTATTTCTCCTCTAGGAATTTACCCCTGGGCTCTCCTCTCTTCTCCTTGTCCCCCAAAGTGAAGATTGCAGATATTAAGTGAGCTGCTGTTAAATATTTGTAATTAATACCAGCTAATACATTAGAAGATAAATGTTACGCTGTTGCTGGCAAAGCAAGAAGTCCAGCAATCACAGTAGCTCAATGTAGTGCCCCAATGTATAGTCCCTTGGACTGTAAGCTCTGAACATACCTTGTGTTCCTGCATCATGAGGGCAAGAAAATCCTCTCATTAATCTGGATCAGAAAAGCGGACTGATGCTGAAGGGGAAAGGGCAGGAAGAGACAGATGGACATTGGCTGCTTGCTACTCCTAGCAGAAAAAACGTAATACATTTCTAGACTGTCTATTTCTGTGTCCAATGAAAAAACTGGCTGTGAATTTTACAAAAATATCCTATGGTGTAAAACTGGTACAGGTCCTGTAGCAAGGCCAAGGTCAGGAGAGGTGTATGAGCCAGTCTCATCGTTTCTCAGCTTAGGGATGATAGACAGAGATAGATGGTCTGATAGTGGACGGGACACTTTACTAAAACAGGGAGTTCTGGATACCTGGATGGCACACAGAATTATTTTGTTCTTGAAAAGTTTGTCATTTATCTACAGTTTTAAAAGCATGCTGTATAACAATACACAAAACACCATTTCTGAGGAACAATTTCAGATGTTCTGGAATACTGATAGGAGAAATTTCACTTACATTGGCATTTGTTTTTATTCTTTGCAGACCTGTCTTTTCTATCCAGTTTCCTTCCTGCCTTACTGGAAAGGGAAGTCAGATCCTGACCTCAACAGCAGTGGAGGAAGCAGTCCACAAAGCTGTCCTATGGCATATGAAACAGGAGGGAATATTTTGCTAATTGGGACCATAAGGGAGTTAAATAAGGTTCTTAGTCCTCCTAAGGCCCATGTATCTGCAGACCTTGCTTTAACAAAAAAAACCCCAAACAACAAAACCCCCGTTCAAAACAACAAAAACCACTTTCACTGAGATAGAGACCACAACGTTTAAAAGTAGTGAACCAGCCTAGAATATCAGCCTTTTCTGAGGAAAAAAAAATGAATAGAGGAAGAGAGTATTTGAAATTTGATTTCTATTTCTAAGGAAGACAGCCTATCACAAGGGAACGGGGTACCCCAGTTTAACAAGTTACTGTTCCTCGACTGATAGGCCGTAATCGCACACTTGGAAGCAGCGTGTGATTTCTATAACCACAACACAGCAGAACACCAGCAAGCGCTGTATGGCTGTGGGGTTACCTGTGCAAGGGACACATTCCAGGTGAATATCAGATTCCCTGCATGTTTGTGGATGCCAGCTGAGTTAGCCGGACCTCTCCTGTGACCCCAGCCGTCCGGCTGGCACAGCTCACCTCCTCTCCAGTGGGGCAGGCAGCAGGGCTCTAAGAAGGTCTCAGTCTAATGTGACGGGACTACAGTCCGTGTTACAGTGAAATAAACCAGGTGGCGATGATCCTAAGATAGGCACAGCAGTCAAGTGATAAGCCAAAACTGCCATAATGCGGTATATAATTGCTTCTGGAATATTTGAGCAGATTATACAGAGGCATAAAGGGCTTCTTAACTTTAAAATTTAAAAAAAGGATGCCATTTTTTAAAAGTGCTATATTTAGAGCTTCACGCTGACGGGAGCTGGGTAGCTCTGATGTGACAGATTGAGATCACCAGGAGTCAAACATTCCGTGTACTGTACAATTCCTGACAACGGCCATAATGCCAGCTCTACAGGGAGAGTTTTCAGACACTGGATGGGTTGTTGTTTTCTTATCTTCAAGGATTTAAAGATACTGGAAATGTGGCGTTGCCTCAGTACTGGTTGCAGGGATATTTTTTCCATCAGTGATCCAGAACTAGTAACCCCTTTTTCTTTTCTAAACGCTATTCTGAATATAATGGTGTCTGGCATTGAAATAATACATCAATAAAGTATTTTTTCCCATCTGCTAACCCTCTAAGAATCCTACACGCAATCAAATTAATGAAATGAAATACCTGCTGGAACACACGGCTGGGCAGGACCACGTGTCACATGGGTCACAACACTCGGAAGAGCCAGGCCTGCACCAGAGTTATGTCAGACTGTGCACAGCCGGGTGTACATCCTGCAGCGTGTACGGCAGTGCCTGGCAACCACCAGGGTAGTCACAAGCAGACGGGAGAGCTGCAATTCTCACAGCACGCAGATAAAAAAATTATTGTCGTGGTATGTATTCAACAGCAGGTTTATGCATTAATCTGATGGTTTTTTCATTCTCAAATATAAATGTTAGAACTAAAAAGATATAGAAAAGACATATACAACAAACAGCAACATTTCTTAAAGGATCAAAGTCTTTATACAACATTTCTCTGCAGTATATTCTTCCCTAAAATCCTAATGGTGTGAAAAGAGAGGGGCTGTGGGATGTGTTTCCCGAGAATGCATTCCAGGGAAAGTGGTGATGTGCATTTTGTATGTGATGTGCATCTGATAGGGGACAGATCCATGGGACCGGCAGTATCCTGTGGCGCGCTGCCGGCATCGAGGCATCCTGTGGTTTGTTTCACAGGAGTGAAAAGGAAAGTGAACGTGTTTCACTGTCCTCTAGCCACGGCAGTGTGGCAGAGTGGACAGCAGATCCTGTACCCTGCCTGCTAGCGCTCCCCAGCTCTTTCTGTCCTTTCCACAGAAATTCAGTTTCAACAGTTTTGAAGAAGTATCTCATGAACCAGTTTTTGTAGAATGGGTTTTTCCATCATTTCCATCAGTGACCTTTACAAGAGCTACATTGGCAGAAGTAAAATTGCTTTTCTACAGTACTTGCCATCCAAGGTGCTCATGCCATCGTAGAACCAAACAGGATTTGTAATCTCACCACGAAATAAGTACAATGTTAAGTGGGTGCTCCACATTTACCCGTCCTACACTGCTCATGTAAGAAACAGATGTGTCTTTGACCACATGTAAATGCAATGCCAAAGTTATTAACATAATTATTAATTTAATTTAAAAAATAAATAATCAAGGACTTCAGCTATTTAAAAGCACTTGTGCTTGAAAGAAATTACAGCACAGATGGCACAAACCAAGGAGCTCACTCCTGCTCCAATTAAAAGCTAAACCCTGACTCACATAATTGCAGACGGCATCACTCCCAGGTACACTGACAGAAGATCATTTTCAGCTCATGTAGATTTCTGAAGTGCTGGGTGCAGCTAAGTCCCGTATCTGACTTACGCAGCTGAACTGGAAATGCTGACTGTCTTCTGGACTGTGAAAATACTCTCCCGCAGCGTCACTGAAGTGCACACAGAATTCAAGTCAGGCAATTTCTAGAAATCAAACAACCCTTCAGTACTTTCACATCTAAATGAGGCAGAACTTTTTAATGTGAAAAAAACACAAATCTTTACAATGTATTTGATCCACTGAAGCTTTTTTTTTTGTTTGTTTTAGTGGGCATTTGCATGTATTTGCTGGGACTGATAAATTCTATTCTATTTAAATAAGTGTCACAATCTACTGTTTACAGGCAGAAAAGGGAGCACAGCGGGAAAAGCTGGAATCTTATCATTAGTGTTAGAGAAGAAGGCTGAAGGCAGTTTGCAGCAAGAGCAGTTTTTTGCTGACAAAAGGCGAAGGGAGATGCCGTGGTTCCCCTGTACGGCAACGTCCCGCTGCGGGGTCCGTCCGGGCAGAGCGGCTGGAGGGCGAGGAGCAGTCGCGCTCCTCTGCCTGCCTGGCCGGAGCAAAGCCCTGAACACCAGGCTGCTCCCACTGCAGCAGGAATTACAGCACACACGGGACGGCGGTGGGGGCTGTTATTCCCACAGCTGACATTCACCCTTCCCCAGCAAAAGCCTCTGCCCCCGGCTCCCTCCTCAGCCCCACTTCTGTTGCTTCCCCACCTGTAGCAACACTCAATTCTGTGCTCGGCGCTGTGAAGCTAGATGTAAATGTTTGCCAGGAAGGAATACAAGTAAAAGTTAGAAAGGCATTTACTACAGTACAGCCCTCAATGAAAAGAAATGCATTGCTTTTTTTTAGTCTAGAAAAGATAAAGACTTTCGCAACAGCAAATGGAAAACTGTACCATGTGTTCTTGGTGTAAAATCATGTTGAACAACATCAAAATGTAAGTTCATATGCAGAGGATTTTTAATATATCTGCTTTTTTCCATTTTTGAAAATACTGAGGTGTGGCATGAAAAGCATTACACACATAAGCCATATGTTGATAAAACACATGAAAATATTTGTGGTTTACAACTATGAGAAATTAGTTATTATAGAGCTTGTGGAAAGTACTGGGTTGCCAGTCCCAGTGGTACGTAGCCCCTTATCACTGGCAGGTGTATGCCTTGGCCCCGCCTGACGAAAGGGACGATCTCATGATGAACACACACAGGTTTCCATGGTGCATTTTGTCGCATGAAATACCAATGGTATGGCCAATCCCTTCTGTGTCAACAGTCCTGTGTTGGATACATACAGCCACAGGGAACTACATTCTGTCCAGGTGCTTGCAGCATAAGAACACGTCATCGCTTCTTATCTGAGCAGGATTTAAACCAGCAACCAGAGATGAAGCTATTTTATTGCAAGAGCAGTAACTTGTACTACGGTTTCTACTACCTCAGAGAGAAGAGCCTCTGTCCGAGGAACATACACTCAGTGTAAGAAGAAAACCCAATGGATGGATACAACAGTGTGACCAAATTACCAACGCACGGAGCACTGGGTACAACACATCAGGCTCCAAGTGACCACTCCATGTCCCCTGGACCATCTAGGCTCCTCCCTGGCACCTCAGTGCATCCTTCGGTGCTTTTCTCATGAGACAGAGAAGCCATTTCCAGTTTTGAAATTAGTCTGAAGTATTTGGAGGGATCCTGTGTTACTTGTTAATGGTAAAAGTAGTGAAAAGGGATACTTCACATCATGATGGCAGATGAAGGTGTTGCTTTTAAGCAATTAACCATTTTGCACTCAGGCATCCTAGAGCCTCTTGATTCTACTATTCTTTATCTCTAGCATCTCCTTTGTAAGGTACAGGACACTGAAAGTCAAAATGCAAGGAAAAATATTAAATCTTTTGACATACCTTGATTTGCTGTCTTAAAGACTAAGTAGAATGCTTGAGCATTTAGTTTGCTTAATTGGAATTCACACCTTAAGCCCACCAGTGCTCTCGCTAAATTTTAGCCTGTCAAAATGGTAAAATCCAATTAAAGTTAATGGCAACATTCTTTTAACAGGAGATTATCAAAGCAGTCATGGAATAAAATCTAATCAATAGACTGGAACAGGTAAAATACAGACTAATATCAACAACATGTTGCAGATAACAAAGCAGTAATGGATTTGTGTTACATGGAATTTTAAATCTACTTTTGTTCAGGTTGGCTTTATAGTAAAGATAAGATAAAGTGCTTTCCCCCTGATTAGATTCTAAGATAGTCTAATGGAAGTACGAGACACCTTGGTAATAGTGAAAAATTATTCAGAAATCGTTATCTCTGTATTCAAAGCAGGAAGGGGGTCCCGCATTCCTTCACCCTACACTGTTACAGGTGAACCATGTTTCTGTTATACAGCTAGCTCTTACTGAAAATACAACTTACCTCAAGGTTAAGTTGTGGATTCAGAAAGGGAGGTGCAGTGCAAGCACAGCACAGACAACAATGCCGAAGCCACGCAAACCAGGAGCACCTGAAAAGCAGAAAGTGTTAAGTCTTAGTGTCAGGATACAGTTCAGGTCTGGTACAGTCGTACCTACACCACCCCAGGGAGGTGCAGGCAGTTCCAACACTGGAATCCCAGTTACATTCAGCTTCAAAAGGGGACACCGCTCTGGTTACACACACAGTGGTGAAGAGAAGTGTTTTGTAGGTTGGTGCTCATTAGGGAGAGGAATAACCAACGAGAAGCTCCAAAACTCAGCTGATCTTTAACCAGACACCCCCCCCGGCTTTGGTGTATCTACAGAGGGAACAGGTCACCCACATGGGGAGCTGGGCCCAGAGCACCACTCTGATTCCAGCAAGGGCATCATAGCAATTTAGTCCCTCTTTCTCCTATTTTAGCACCTCAGCATCCCTCTCTCTTCTCCAGTAGCTTATGTCTTGCTGGTGTCACTGGAAGCAACAATATCTGCTGTCTGATAGGGGCAAGTTCTCAACGTTGAGTTGATTAAGTGCAAAATCTCATGCCCACTAATGTACTTGCCAGCGTAACTTGCCCAGTATGAACTGCAATTTGGAGAAGTAAGATGTTAAACCATTGAAGCAGAGGTACTAATAGGCTTTAATTCCAAATAGGATGGGATCTGCAGGGAAAACCCTTCAAGGAGTTTCCACGGTCTGGGTAAAGATGCTGCTCCACCCCAGTGCTACCTCCTCTCCCACTTGCAGCTCTGCAAAGAGGGTTCTGCTGCAGGTAAAGGTGGTGATCTGAAGGTCCAGAGATGCAGAGCCCTGCCTTAAATTCAGGCAAAGAATATGGGAGAGAAGAAGAGGGAAAAGCTCCCAGTTTCAGACCCCATTTTACACAAGCTAGCGCCTAGCATAGTGCAATGCTCCCAGCAGCACACAGCTGCTAACGCCATCTGACAATCCTCCTCCATTACCTCTTGCTGTGGGTAAATCCAACAACATCCCTGTGGTTTGTCATGGCCTGGCATGTGATTTCATAGAATCATAGAATGGGTTGGGTTGGAAGGGACCTTAAAGATGATCGGGTTCCAACTCTCCTGCCCTGGGCAGGGACACCTCCCACCAGACCAGGTTGCTCCAAGCCCCCTCCAACCTGGCCTTGAACCCCTCCAGGGATGGGGCAGCCACAGCTTCTCTGGGCAACCTGGGCCACGCTCTCACCACCCTCATTTGAGGCAGGAGTTAAAAAGCTGATTAAAAATTTCATTGTACCCCCCTCTTGAGAACAGAGGTCTGTTCCTGGTGGGTTCTGGGGGCTGCCCTCCCCGCCGGCGTGTGGAGGGAGAGGCTGGACTCACCGCCTGGGGCTGGGGTTGGCAGGGGCTCCCCGACGGTGCCCGTGCCCTGCTCCATCCCTGGGCTGCTCCCCTGGGCTCCATCCCGCGCCTGCTGCAGGCTCCGGAGCTGCCAGGCGTCCAGGGGCTTGCGCTGCGACCTGGTGACGGCGGCGGCATTCTCAGGGCCCAGGTTTGCTATTTGCTCTGGGGACAATGCCTGGGAGGAATAAAAGCCAGAAAAATTGGTTTTGGCTGTCAATTAAATAAGGCAGATAAGGAATCAGAAGTCAGCACTGTCTTGCGTTTGGAATGAGGGGAAGTCGCCTTCAACACCGTGCTGCTGTAAAAGAGCTCAATAGAGCTTAAAAGAAATCCTCTGCGCTCATTTACTTCACTGACCACTCATCTGTCTCCCACTCTGGAGTGCTTTGATTCCAGTTAACGTTCTGCAGTCACAAGAATTTGAGCCCTCCTACACAACAAGCCTTCTTTGCTGCAGCAATTCTCCACCCAGATTCTGCTTTAGAAAGATTAAACACTCTGTAGAGGTCAACAGAGCAAACCCTTCCTGATTTCTCATTGTCTACCAAACGGTGTTCTCTTTTAAACTGAGTAAACTCATGTAAATGTCTACAGGTCCAGAAATTTTTAATTGAGTCTCTTCTTAATTCAATTAAAGCCCATAATACGATGTAATTTTTCATAAATAAAAATCTGAATACTGTATACAGCTGTAAAATGCAGTGTAAGACCAAAACCTGCTTTCAATCTTTCGAATACAGAAAACTCTCGAGAAGGTCCCTGATATTTGTTAAGCACATTTTGTTGTATCATTACTATTCTTACTAACAAAAATGTATGTGATTTGAAAGAAATTCTACAAGATGCTATAGATCTTCAATTTTCCCTGTTTTTCAAAGAAATAGATTCAATAAGGACATTTCAAGCACATCTAAACTGTTAATGGTGCTGGGTAGAACAGTTAGTGTTCAGGGAGTTTTTCTCGGAAGCTGACACTGTTAACTATCTGGTTAGCTCCTCTGTCCACGAGCCCCTTGCTTGCCCCAGCATCTGACAGAGACCAGCAGGGGCAGAACATTCATCTTGTTGCTGCGTCAAATAAAGTCTGGGACAACGATCTCAAGATCCATGTTCTAATTTCCGGTCCACGTTCAGAATGGCTGTAATTAGATATAATTCCTTTGTGATCTGTATCTGCCTGTACAATCTGTTTTTCAGAGCTAACTCAGGAGAATGTTGCCAGAGTTTAGGATAATAAAAAAGCTCTTACATGGTCAGCAGAGAAATTTGTAGCTATGACAGCATCCTTGCTAATGTTAATAAACAGAGAAAAAGACCCCTCAGATCTGAATACAGCATTGGAAGAAAGAGGGACTCCATTCCCTGATTTCTGACCCTAGATCTTTGCCTTTTCCTCAGGATGCATTCTGAAGAATAAATAAAGCTTGTGTAGCATATTTATGGGCATCCAAATACAGGTGATACAGCTGAAAGTTAATGTTTCGGATCCTTGACTGCCTCTCACTTAACACACCACAGAAAAATTATTGCTGAAACCCAAACTCAAACTATAAATCAGTGCTACATTTTATTTATATTTGAGTAAAAACGATAGAAGTTTGGTTGCTTCTTCAGTAATTGAGCTCTTACTTGGAAGATTTCAGGAGGTATATGTCTTATTGCTATTGGCTGGAAATATGGCATCAAGTTTTTATCAAAAGCTTTTAATTCATCCTCATTCAAACCACCTAAAAAAAAAAAGTAAAAAAACCAACAGGAACAAAGCTTAATTAATATTCTTTTTATCAGATTTATTTTTCGGCTAGTAAAATTTTAAGCATTTACACAAAATATCTAATAAACAGTTTTCTCCAGTGTGTTGCAGAGAGAGACAATGGTTCTTTTTCTGGTCTGTTTCTTTCATTGGATTCCAACATTACAAACCCCCAGACTTTAACCATTGGTACAAAATATGCTTTACCTGAGTCACTTTATCTTGGGAAAGAGACAATGATAAAAATCAATAAAACCATAAGCTGTGTTATTAGGGAATGCTTGTTCACAGGCTCTCCTGGGGCGAGATGAGGAAGCATAAGCACGGATCGGGATCTGCTTCCTCACCCACTGGGTACTTCCAGCACGGGGTCATCGCCCCAGGCATCGGGGATGCTAACATTTATCAGCACTCAAGGTGCAGTTGATCAATCCCAGGGGAAAAGTCCCTGAACAAAACTGCGTGAGCTCTGGCTGAGGAAGTCCCCACGGCTGTGGGAGCGCCCTGGAGAAGTTCCACTCCAGGCTGACAGGCTCTCGCTCTCCCTGGGCACCCCATTCCCCCCGCTGCTGGCAGCAGGATGCTGGCTCAGCCACGGTGCTGCTCAGCCCAGCACAGCCCCTCTTCAGCAGCACAAGTCTGAAATCCAGGTTTTGCCCTCCTTGATTTACCCTTTCCAACTCACAGGACCCATATGACTTCAGGCTGTGCTTGCCAAGGTCGGTGTGAGCAGATTCACAGAACCTTATGGAGAATACCTCCACTTTTCTTTAGTGCTATTGACATTGCTGCATGGTGACTGCGGGTGACTCCTCTCTGGAAGAGATGTCTCTTGCCAGTCTAGACAAACGCACTGCTACGTGAACCTGTCTTTAGTGCTTAATAACAATCCTTCAGAACCATCACCATCGAGAGTCTGAGTTTTGTTACCTGCTATAGTACCAATCTCCTGTAAAACAGAGCCATTCCAGCCGGCTGCAGCACCAAACACGGACTCTGTCATCTTCTTAAACAGCCTCAGAACAGGGGTGCTACAGAACAACAGCCCAATTCTTGCAACAGCAGCACTGCAAAAGGCAACGAGGCCAATGTTACGTGCTGCAATTACATGCAATACTAAATATGCCTGGAATATACTTTGTCTCCTGTCAGAAGACTGTAAACCCATTTTCAATTTAAAATATTTGCACACAAATTGCATACAAATGTTTAATGCTTTGAGCAAAAACCTGTGTTTCTCAATGCAGTACTTAAATTGTGGGATATAAATGGCAAAGGAAACATAAAGTAGAATATATTTTAAACAACTAGTGTATGCCTTTCATAACAGTTATTGCCCTTCTAAAAGCATTTAAAACATAAAATAGTGTCCTTTAGGCTCTGGAAATCTTGAAGGAGGACAAATTGCACAATAAATTTTATCAATAGAGATACTAATAAATATTTCATTAAGTATTCAGTGAAGTACCTGAATTCAGCAGTCCTTATTGACATGATTTCTGTGGAGTTCAAAGCACAGAGAAGAGCTCCTAATCCAACCAAGTCAAAGCTTTTCAGCATGCTGATTGTCTGGCCAGAGTCTTCCAGAAAACCATGCAGAATAGATCTTGCCTACAAAAGGAATAAGATCTTATGCATGAATAGAGTAAATATAATTGAAAGTTTTGTTACAGAAGCTCAAAACCTTGGCAGAAGCTACAGAACACACATGATCCCGAGTCTCCCCAGTGTAATTAGTTGGGAGTTTTGCCATGGCCATGGGGAGGAGCCCTGCCACCACCTACACGTGACACTGGAACAGGGCACTGTTACACAAACACTTCCCAAGCGCAAGTGATCTGGAAGCACTTTGTACCTCTTCTGCCGGGTCACGAGGAATCACTTCACCAGAAGAAACTGGCATTGAATCACCTATCAAAACTGCCCAATTCAATTAAACTGCTAGAAGAAAACATAAATTACTCAAGGGATCAACATGAAATTTTTAGTTTTTCTAAGTGTCACACATAGGTGGTGACCTGTGCTTAGGGTTAGTTTTCAGATATGAATGGGATATTGGTACCAAAATGCCAAAGTCATTTAGACTGGTTCTCATCCTAAACTAACCATTAAAAACCATGTGTCCAGCTTAAGCCTGCCACCAAGGCATCCTCCAAAGCCAGTAAGGTATAAAACTCTCCCATGTGCTACCTTCTGACAGTGTTCTTCAGAACAAGGACCTATTAAGCAAGTTGGTGACACTTTGCCAGGGCTGGCTGCCACCATGCCAGCATCTGTACCACCAAGGAGCCCTGACAGTGGGTCACAGAGCCAGCAAGAGCTGCCAATTGCATATACAAATAAAAACTCGTAGCTCTTATTATCAAAGTTCCAGTGACATAATGAGAAGTTAATCAAGGAAAAGAAGAGGAGAGGAGCATATTTGCTAATAACTTAGGCTTACCAGGGCAATGGATGCTGGGCTGGGGGCACGCCATCTCTTCAGTGACTGCCCTTTGTGAAGAAGGGCTAATACCTCCCTAGCAGTATGGTCTGTTCTGGGGCCAGTCTGAGTGGAGCTGCTGAGCTCTTTCTGCTACTTACTGGGCAAGTGCTAAAGAATACACTAGTCACCACCACAGCTAACGGAGACTGATGTCCCGTTGGCCATCTCACCAGGCAGCCCCCAGCACTGAGCAACCTGCCACATTCCCAGGGCTCACAGCTCAGAATGGCAGCACTGGGGATGACTGTTTCTGTTTCCTGGGCCATTCCAGGACTTCAGGGTGTGAAGTCCTGTGGAATGGCCCAGGGTGTGATTCCAGAGCCTTTCACCAGGAGTGAATCAGTTACAATCTCACCTGGGTAAGAGTCCATTCTCTTTGCTGACTGAGTGCAGAAACAGTGTCCACAGAATGCAAATCCAGCTCTTCGATTTCATCTTCGGTGAGTGCCAGAGCAACACGGCCCAGGGAAACAACACGGTAACTCTTCCAGCCTGGCAGCCACCCCCAGACCTTTAGAAGAGATACATTAATCTCTGTTAGGTCATTACGCATCTTCCTCTACATACCTCTACATCCATTCTCAGACCCCCTGGTTTCCAAAGTCCCAATGCCCAAAGTATGCCCCCGCACACAAACGGCACATCTTAGGTATTGTGAAGGTTTTTGAGGTTCTACACTAATAATGGTCAGTTTATCTAAAAATCCCACAATTCGTACAGCTTGAGCTCGCTGACAGCTCAGAGCAGGGACTGCTGCAAGTGTTTCTGTAGGAGCAAGTACCACCGAACACAACAAAAGCGCGGGTCTGTGCCGGGACCCACTCCATTATTCTGCCATCACAAAACCGGGACTGGCCGGTTCCCCCCCCGCAGCCAGACCGGGCCAGTGGCTCCCAGCACTTCAGCCACCAATCCTTCTGGCTCAGTCATTGGCAAGGGAGGCAGAAATCCAAGTAGAGAGTTGGGTGATAAAGACAAATAGCCAGTTCCTAACATTCTGATTTCTAGTTTGTGTGCATACAATATATGAAAAATAATCATTTACATATGTTCATACACATACAGTTAAATCTGTAAAACTCTGTAAAAACAAACAAATAAGCAGAGGCAATTCTAAACCAGTACCAGAGTATTTAAAATGACAAGTTCCACTGCTTTTAACTTTATCTGTGATACAATTACAGTGACTCAAAAGCTGCCACAGATGGGCCCTAAGAAAATTTTGATTTCAGGAAAAGGCCTGCCTGGATAAGGACTATTGAAAGTCCACCAAGAGCTGAATTTGCAGAGGCCAGAACTGTCAATTACATTTAGTTGGAAATGACAGAAGACAGTAGTCAGTGGTCAGTATTGCTCAGAATGTGGCCAATTGTCTTTACAGAAAAAGACTCGGAGTTTTGGCTGGAGGAAGTGACTTGAAGCAGACAGGCATACATTAAAGAAAAAAAGCTCCCTTTAAAGGTCTCATGTTCTTCAGCAACTTTGCTTTAGGTCAGTCAATACACAACAGTTTTCTAGTACATAACTGTGCTGCAAACTCCACATAGAAAAATAAAACTAAAATCCCAGTCCTTGGCTAAGCTGATCGCTTGTGCTGATTCACCCAAACATTTATTGCACCTTCAGGGTAACTGCAGCTTCGCTTTTGTTCAAAACATTAGAAAGGCCAAAGCCAGTAAGGACTTGTTGAAGCAATATCTCTGCAGTTGCCTACTCAGTAGTGTTTGCACCTTCGGATACACATGAAGCTGTACAACCTGCATAAAAGAAAGAAAAAGGGCCAGATCTCTGGAATAAGCGGCTGTTGGCACCAGCAGAGCAACCTCACTGCGAGACCCTGTTCCCAACTGGGACCCTCGGAGTTTGGGATTTGGTTAAGAGATGCTTTGCTGGACCTGTATCTCCTGACTGAGTTTCCAGGAGATCTTTTATGTTGTTTTTATGATACCATAAAGAAACAGAAAAAGGGTCTAAGCCTCTCAATCTTTTTCAAAGACAATAGATAGTAAAAACCATTAGCCCAATTTTAAAGCTCTTAACTCTGTAGCTTAAGAGATACATGAAACACATGCAGTTAAAAATGTTGTGTGTCTATTTCCTGATCTAGGTCATAAACTACAGAATTTGAAGTTCTTCATAAATAGCATTATTCCACAGTGCTGGATGAAATCTCACACATAATGGTACAAAAAACACGACAATGAAACTGAAACATGCCTCTGTCCTGCTTCACTGCAGATCCCTGACGCTGTGACTGTCGCGGAGCTTGGAGACCTTCCGCTTACAAGTGAGCTAAGCTTCTTATTTTCATTAGGACACAGTCTGATAACTAGGCTTTTTGAATTAGTTTGGGACCATGAGCAGCACACAGTTTCTTTTAGGGGAAATCAATCTATTTAGGAGAAATTAAAGCTGGCTTAATCAGACCTTTAATGAAAGATGCCCTTTAGTTAATAACATAACAGCATCTTACGCACATAATTTCAGAGCTTTGTCTGTAGGATCTGAATTCTCGTGCTTCGCGTTCAGTGTAACACCATGCTGCATTTTGCAGATATACATAGGAAGCCTGTCTTTGTGCAGCCGCAATCTGTCTTACAAACACTCACACCCACAGAATACACTTTCATTCAGTGCGCTACAGATCTGTGTGTCTGTGAACTGAATATAACTGAATGCGTGCATTAACCTTGCTGGCAATTTTCCTACAACAGGTACCGCTCTCTAAGTATACTACTATGTTGCACTGCTGTAAAATATTTTAGTTCCCCCTATCTCAGATGAGCACCGTTTTTATTTTCTTCTAGGATTGTATTTTTTTCCCTTTTCCTACCCACATGTCTCTGTGCTGACAGAGGGAAGCTGTCTTGGGAAGCACGCGTTCGGTGCTGTGGGCTGTTGTCCACAGAGAGTCACCATCTGCTGTTGGAAATCTGGGTAGTGCCACTTCTCTTCTGGAGCTCCCGAACTGCAGGTGCTCACAGCTGACCTTCCCTGCTAAAAACTGCACTGCTGGCCTTGTCTCTTGCCCGTGACAAGCTGTGGGACGACATGCCAAGGTCAGAGGGATGGGCTGCCAACGAGGGCCCACAGCTCATGCTGGCGACGCTGCAGCACACTTGGGGTCTTAGAAAGATAAGCCCGAGGCTCCTGAGGTCATGGGAGCCAAGAGAGAGACACCAGTGAAATACACCAAAGGAATCAAGGGGTGCTCCTCTGAGGTGACACAGCTGCCAGTTTTTTAGCAGGGCCTATTGTGACAGGACAAAGGGCAATGGTTTTAAACCAAAAGAGGGAAATATATATGAACTAGATACAAGGAGGAAATTGTTTACAGTCAGGGTGGCGAGACCGTGGCCCACATTGCCCAGAGAGGTGGTAGATACCCCATCCCTGGAAACATGCAAGGTCAGGCTGGACGGGACTCTGAGCAACCCGGTCTGGTTGAAGATGTCCATGAAGATTGCACGGAGGTTGGACTAGATGTCCTTTAATGGTCCCTTTCAATCCAAACTATTCTATGATTCTGTCTGCCCAGAAGGCATGTTCAGCTCCACTACTCTGGCTGCAGCTGCTGGTTTTAGGAGATGCTGCCCAGGTCTGCCTTGTCCCCTGCTCCTCCTGTTTTCCTCCAGAGGTCACAGCCCTCAAGAATCTCCAAGCATTTGCACTCATGCTAACCACACTTCTTGATGCTTCCTCACCTCATTCTGTCAAAATGGTCTGATGGAGCCTAAAAACGACTTTAAAAAGCTGGATCATTTGACAGAATGGGATTATGTAGTAGCTAGCCATGCAGAGACAGAAGCAGAGAGTTGATAACCTCCAGCAGATGCTGGTGACAGGAAGCTGAAGATAGTCTGGGGATGGTAACCTCCACACCTCTGGGTTTTCTGCAACCAAAACAACTTGTCTGACTGTAGCCCAAGGCTTTTCCTTGCTGAAACAAAGGAATGTTTGGGACAGTACTTGTGCTCCCGAAGAGTAGGCAGCCACAAAGCAGCAAGAGGAGGTCACCTCCAGGAAGGAGTGCAGGCGCCAGCAACAGGGACAGAGCAAGGTCTGACTCCTTGGGTGCCCAAGGCAGTGCTGGTGGGAGCCCAGATGCCTTGCTGATGGCTCTGCCCCTGGCACAGCACGGGTACAGGTTGGGCACTGCAGTGCCAGGAGGGAGTCGTGGGCTCCTGCACTGCTGCTGTAGCATGGACATCACCTACGGGCTGAGCCCAGGGCAGAGACCTCTCTGAGGAGCTCAGGAGGAGCTGCATTGCTGCACTGAAAGAAAGAGGAGCCAGCAGTGCCGTGGAAGAGGCAACGAGAGCTGGGACTGCAGCCCTGTCCCTCTCCATGAAGCTACAGCCTGGCAGAGATGGAGGTCTTCTCTCTTCTCTTGCTCCGTAACTTGCACTCGCCAGTAACATCCCAGTAAAGACAGATGTGACTTTTTTCGCCCCTCCCTAAAATTTTCCGATGGATTTGTCCCCACCTCTGACAAGAAGGTGGGAGAAGGAGCTTTATTCAGCTAATAACAGTTTCTCTCAGTCAGCCTAGTTTTACACCACAGTAAACTATATTTAACATTGATGTAGACAGTTTAACACTCTGAGCTTAATTCTCAGCAGGCAATCAAGAGCCTATAGTGCTGCTGGCCGATTTTTCATTTATGAGAGAAAAGTGAGAAGCAAGCAACTGAAAAGCAATTCAAAAGTAAAAGCACTTAAGTTTTTCAGCTGCCAATAGCTCAGAATGATTTGCCTAAAGCAAGGGCAATAGTCTTCTATCACCATCTCACATTATTTTTCCAATAAACAATAGATATTCTTGCAGCAGTACTGACATTGTCATAGCACAGTTATTTTAGAACTGCATAGCTCAGTAACAGCAAATCAAATTATGGATTTAATTTTCCTTCACAGAGAGGATAGTTACCTGCTTGGCTTTTTCCTTCAAGGCAATAAGCTGGGAGCTGTTAAAACCCGAAACAGTCCCAAGAAGTTCCACATTTTTGTCAAAGGTCCCTGCATCCATGCATTTCAGTTCCTGAACTGACCAAAAGACATTTGCTTCTGCTAATTTAATAATTTCATCTGAAGAAGGAGCTCTGGTTCCCAGGCAATCTGGAAAAAAATTCAAATACAAGAGTTTACTTCAATGAGACTGAAAAAAAGAAATCAAAGCAATATAAAGATTTAAGAGGGTGTCAGACTATGAATTAACTGCAGCTGAGGTGATATTGATAATTATTTAAAGAAAATATTTCATTGCAAGATATTTACATTGATACATCCTGGATATAAAAACTAGAATTTGCCTAACTTGCAAGAAATTTGTTATGTTCTTTGTCCTCCAAAGGCAGTGCATGCTGGAAAAGAAAACAGAAGCAGACATATATTTCAGGTCACTTACAATATAGGATGCCATAATAAAACTAAAATCTGGATGTGAGAAGTAAGAGTGAGCCTATCTTGCAAGTTTCTTCCAAGTCTAATTCCCTAAAGGCATCAGAACCCAGGCAAGGGCTTATTCTGAGGTAAAAGCACCGTTCTCTGGGAGCCTTGCCTGAGTAAGAATGAAATGCAGATCCTTGGGACGACTCCATAGAGCTGTACCATTGTTCACAAAACAATGTTGCAGCTGAATAAACGTCTCCACGTTCAAACAGTACATAGGTGAATCCAGCTCAACAGGAAAGCAACAGACAGACACGAGAGGTCCTTTTACTCTGACATACCCTGACAAAGATGTACGCCTTCTTGTAAGACTTGCCTGACATTTAAACAAGGTGAAGACAGAAGCTGGATGTGTCAGTGGAGCACGGTGCTTGCTCTTCGTGTCAAGCATGTCGTTAAAATGTCAGGATCTGAGAGGGCTTTTCACTTACAACAGAACCGTTTGGACAGACAAACTCCATTTAAAAAAATCTTATTTACAGTCAGGTTCTAGCCCTGTGCATGATGAAACGAGACAGTTTCTCTTGTGTGCTTTAACAAATCCTGGTCTTTGTTGGCATAATCTAGCTCCAAGGCTGATGGAAAGCAGAAATTAGAGTCCTAATGTGGTTGCTTACCGCTCTCTCTCCTGTCACTAATTTAGAAAATCCTTATTAAATAATTACCTAAACCAAATAATCCCTGCATGTCTTCAGATATGGTCATTACGAGTAAAAAGCAAGAATTTCACAGATGCTGTGGCTGAGCTAAACTATCCCAGACAAATAAATTAAAGCGAGGATGTACAAAGTGGATTTGTACTTTGAAAGGTGGCAGAGGAGGGATTTATTTGCATCAAAGGAAGCTGCAGTAGTGGGTAGAACACTGAAAAGACTGAATCTGTTGAGCAAACAAAAATGTTCAGCTTCCACTGCACCAGCTGATGTTCTGCTCTCCCCCCACGCCCTCCGGGGCTGTGCTGTGTCACCCCCCCTGCTGCAAAACTCAGCTTTTATCGTGTAAATACAACCCCTCCAGCACAATGCAGCTCCCTTTGGGAAGTCATGAAAACCTAATGTTTTGTGTTCTTAGAAAAAACATCAGTTTTATTATTTGTAACACACCAAATACACTGGTGCGATTAGAGGGAAATACTAATTAGACTCCTGGCTTTGCTTCCTGTACCTGATGCTAGTTCACTCTTCCTTTCACTACATAATCCCACTTAGTTTGATGAATAACTTTTTAATATATATATTACAACATCTCAATGCTTGAGGTAAGCAGCTTGAATTCTTTTTCCAGCACTGCCATGGCTTCCTGGTCGCGTCTTGGACACATGAGACCTGAGTTTTGCCTCATATGATCCACCTTGTCTTAAGCACCACCTTTTTTTTTATCTTGATGCAGGCACAGATGTAAGAACTCTGTCACTGGTAATCATTACTGAAGAAGAAGACTGAACCTCTTTAAGTTACTCAGTGTTTTACTTTTTATTGCCCTGCTTATTGGAATGCATTTGATGACAAGGTGAAACAAAAATTCCATTTGAATTGCACCCTCAGAGCCCAAAACCGTTGTAAATGTGGCACTTGGCACAGAGAGCAGGAAATACTGACCAGGTCTGGCAAGAGAGGAGTCGATGCTGGATGTGCCATTTGAGACAGATTCAAATACAGTTGAGAGAAGCTCTTCAGCTGAAGAGATTGGTCCAATTGTCTTTGCTATTTGTAAAATCATATCGGGGAACTTCAAAGAGAAAGAAAGAATAAATAAGACTTCCTTCTCCATTTCCGAACAAATCAGTTTGCAGACTCAGCCTTGTGCAGACCTCAGCAAAGCAGGGATTTGTAACAGCTCCACCTCCTATTTGTGCATGTGTTTCAGAAGATGAGACTAAATTGGCTGCTACTGAAAGGTCAACAGTGTAAGTCTGAGGGGGGAAAAATTAGAAACAAAGCAAATTCTGAGTGATTCTGTCTCTGGTTTGCCCTCTCAGCTTCGGGCAACACCTGAGCATTGCCTGACTGGAATTTGTGTCCAGACCCTCCTGTAGCGGTGAGTTCCACTGTTTCGGTATGTGCAGTAGAGAAGGTACCATTTTGTCTTAAATTTGCCAGCTAAGAGTTGAGGATAGGGACCCAATTAAATTATGAGAAATAACTTCAACCTGTTCACTTTTTTTAGGCTTTTTTGACCTCTCTCTCCACCCTGCTAGACACCTTCCCTTCCGTTGAAGAGTGCCATTTTATTTGGTCAATTATAACCTTTATCTCCTGAGGAAAAGCTGCTGACTGTGCTCACATATTTCTGCTGAAGAATGAATTCCCTGTTCCAGTACAGTTTACTCCTATACATAAAATTTAGAAGATTATAAGAACTAAAGAGCACAAAGAAACTCCAAAGTGCAATGCTGAGGCTATCAGTTTTGTGTGCTGTGCTGGCCCTGGGGCAAAGGGCCACGTGAGTAAATGCTAATTTGATCAGTACGATCCCATTATTAACTGGATAAGAAATGTAACTTTTATGGTTGGAAGGCAGATGAATGGAGGAAACAACACCGCAAGGTGTAAAGTACTAAAAATGTTTGAGTCTGCATCACTATAAATGTACCATTTTTTTCCTACATGGCAATGTGCAATTATCATTGTACATGTACAAATAACTTTTTATACTACCATTACTTTAAAGAAGAAATCTCAGAAATTTTGATGGAGTCAAGAATATGTGAAACATTAACACGTGGTTCTTTGCCAAGAGAATTATTTACCTAGTTTAACATTCAGGTTACGTAATTTAGATTGCATTATGACATTCACAAATACAAATTCCAACATTATCTTTTACAAATTTAAAAATTATAATGAAAACATACCTTTTCAGCAAGGACGTTTAATTCCCCTTTTGACAGCAGAGCTATGAACAGTCCAACATCTAATGTTGTTTCAGCTGTCCAGTTGTTTGGGGAGCTGGAGAAATATTTTGGAAAATTATATTAATGTAGAATGTTTGCAATCAAAATTATACTAAAACTTCAGAGTTTTTTTTATACTGTATCATAGAGGAAACACAGACACTTTATGTCAGTGTGATGGTTCATGCTTATTAAATCAGACTGCATTTTCTCATCTCTCTGTGATGTATAGGGCACTACTAGAATTCTCAGTGTATTCAGAGAAAGCCTTCAAATATTCTGGCAACGGAGCTCTCTCTCCTGCAACAGTCATAGTATTCTTAGCACTACACTGTTCAAGCGAGGGGTTCTGAGTGGTGCTGGGTTTTTCAAAATGTACATAGCTTAGCACTATGCAGGTTTGGGCTGTTTGTTTGATACAAAGCTGAAAAATGTTAGCCAGCCCTGTTGGTGGTTGACTTAAGAAAGTCCTCGGGTAAATACTTTTTTAGCCTGAAAGAGCCTGAACTCTTACTAGTGCATGTTCTCACAAAAAACTTTATCTGCTTTGTTGTTCCAGTATGAGGAAGTTTGACTAGACAAATATTGTCAAAATATTGTCAAAATAAAAGAAAATAAAATATTATGTAGCACAGTGTGTCATGATGCAATAAAATAGATCTGTATCAAGATTAATGCAAGGATGGGATCTATTGGAAAATATAGCTCATCCATGACCAGAAAAATTCTGACCAGAAGGAAGCTGAATGAACAATCAAAATGGTTCCACCAAGGCGGATCAAGTGACAGGCTTTGGGGCTGAAGGGATGGGTTAGGAACTATGCATTCAGTCTCGCTTTTCAAATGCAAGATACTCCTAAGAGACAATGCAAGAGAGAAACAGTATATTCTTGCCAGATAGAGGATGGCTTTGTTTTTCGCATGACTGATACAGCAGTGTGGTTCCATCAGCCTCCTAATCTGAGTCGATACTGACACCCAATGCTGCCCGCTTTGTTGCTTCAGTTGGCTGAACTTTATTTCCCTCTGCTGCATCTCCAGCTCTCCCGTTGCCAGGGTGTTTGCTTTCTTTCCCTCCTCACCATGACACTGAGCATCCCTCTGCCATTTTCCCATTCTTTGCATTCCTGCACCATCCTTTGCCTCTAACACCCTTTCCCTTGCCGTGCCAGAGAGGCTGCTTGCCGGCCCCTCCTCAGACACTGCTCTTCTCCCTTGCTTCGGGGACTGCAGTCACACAGGGTGTCCCTGGGCTTGTATTTGGTCCCACAGTCACCGTGTCACACATGAGAGGAGAAACCTCGCTCTAGAGCACAGAGACCCCATGCTTGGACAGTGAGAGGGGCTGCTTTGGGTTGTTTTTGCTGCAGTTCTGCCTGGCAAAGTGAATGGCGTAACCCTCGGCACACCCACAGTGGTACATCTAATACCTTACCCATACAACTCGAAGAGCTTGTATTTAATTTCAGTCTTCTGCTGGTGGCTGAGCTGTCGGCAGAGTTTGAATTGAGGAAGGGCTGCGGCCATTGCCTTTGGGGACATTCTGCCATGCAGAAAGGCTGGAGGCAAGTGGCAGATTAGATTTCCAAGTAGGTCAACATCAAATTCATCAGCAACAGAGCCATTCTGAAACAAGAGATTTACCTTGTTGGCAGAGCTGATACTGGCTCTTGCCTGTATCACTTAACTGCATCACAACACATTTAAACTCTCTGACTCTTTAAGGAACAAAGACACAATAGTTTGCACCGGCAACTTAATATACAATTTCTGCTGAGACTGCTTTATACTTTTTGCTTTTACCAATGCAACTGGTGATATTTAATAAGCACTTGTCAGAGCTTTCAGTGTATTCTTTATTCCATATTGAAGCACACGTAAAAAATAATTAAAACTTAATCTCCTGCCACAATCTCTGCATCTAGGTGACCACCCAAAACCCGCAGAGGCTGCTGTTCTGCCTGGCAGCAAAGTCCTCACATGGCAAAGGGCCACAAGCTCTTGCTGTCAGAAGGCTTCTCTCTATTCCTCAAGCAGTTGCCAAAACACTGGGGATTATAGGACTGGACGGTATGTATAAGGACATGAATAATATAATATATAATAATATAATGAATATAAGGACAACTACATCAAAGAACTATTCTTCCCGAGGAACTGGTCACTGCTGCAGCTCACAGACAGCAGCAAGAACCTCCTGATACCTCCACCTGTCCTGTGGGGCTTGCTGCCCAACATGGCTGGGGGGAGCAGTAGGCAGGATAACTTTGTGATGTACCACATGACAATAAAGGGAGAGAAAACTAATCAACCACTCTCACTTAGTTTGGAATTGTGAGTGTCTGATTACAGATTACTTTTTCTGCAGCTCCCCCTCCGCTGCTGACCCCTCCTCATTGTACGCACCAAGCACTCCTGCACTTTCTGCAGGACAGCACTCTTTTTGTGAAGGCTTGGATTCAAAAGGTCCATCTCAGTCTTCCCCAGACCTTCAATGAAAGGGACACACAAAGGGCCTGAGACATACTCCAGGTACTCAGTCCTGCAGAAAGAATTCAAACGGTCTCAGAATGTAAACGTGACTTTCATACACACATACCCACACGTGCAATCTATGATGGAGAAATTTATAGACAAGTCTGGACTTGAAATACTATAAACTGTCCAGGCCAGAAAAGTTGCAATTAATCCACACCTTACTTTAACTTACATGATCTTCCAGTTGATCTGCACATGAACGTCACTCCAAAAATGGCTAAGGGTTATAAATAGCTGCAAGGATGAATGTTCTCTGAGGGGCTTTAATACCATATGAAACAAGACTGCAGTTCAGAAACTCTTCCCCTTTCTCCTTTTTATTACGAATAATTCTCTGATGAATGAAGATGTGGTGGGTCAATTAAGGACAACAAGTAGTTTTAGAGTAGGCTTCCTTATTATCAAAGTCAAGGAAAGTCTGCCAAATTAAACAAAACCTCTTCTCCACCAGAGCGGCAGGCAGCCTTCGCAAACAAAGCCATATCCCAAAGCCGTGCAAGCCCAGCCTTATTAGGGTTTGTAGCCAGGAGCAGCAGCAACTTCTGATGGTCCTGAACAAGCAACATGCAATTGTTGGCCAAATAACTTGGTGCTGCAGTCTGTAGAAAGCCTTATTATAAAGTATTTCTGTTATTATTTTATTGTTTTTCAAATATAGTAATGCTTTTTCAAACAGAATCCATTTCTTTTTTTAGTTTTTTTTCAATTAAAAATATTCCAAGGAAAGAATAGTGCTCATTCCTTTTTATCACTCAAAGCATGTGCGAAGAAAGAAAAAAAGAAAAAAGGGAATGAACAAGTTGTACAATTCAGGACTACCATTTGTTTTAGATTCAAACTACAATTTCTTTGAATCATTATTTTTCTTAAGACTGAAAAAATTATTTTAAAAGTGCTCTGAAGGCTACTCTGAATGTACTGCTACGACTGCAGGAACTTAAGATGTCATAAGATGTAACTTACGGAAGTACCAATAAGAGGAAGGGAGGAATAGATGCGTTGGAAACTTTCCAAAACTTCCAAGCCAAACAATTAACCTAAAAGCAACAAAAAATTATGATCTTAAACATTAGGAAATTCTGAGGAAGAATTAAGATAATGTAGTTTGTTTACTACAGTTTATAAATTAGTATATATATAACTGTATATTATCTTCAGAAAGCATTTTTTTAGTAGTTTAGAGTTTTGTTTTTGTAGACATCAGAGAGGAAGCACCCTGTATCTGACTGCATGAAAGCATCTGTACGTTTCCAAAACTGATATATATTTCTAAATAGATTACTCATGAATTAGCAAGTTAGAAGGACCACAGAAATTTCTAGCAATTTGTAAGTGACAAATGAAATTGCCAAAATGAAGTATGATAACTCAAATTCACACACAAAAGATTTATATAAAATATGTTAACAGAAAAGTTCACATACAGGATTTTGAAATAAATTTAAAAAATAATTAACCAAATTCTAATTCATCTACAGTTTGGATATTGGGTAGTATGTTTATGTACAAAAAGTCCTTTTTTGGTTTTACCTGATATGGAGAAAGCAGATGAAGATTCTTTTCAAAGAATTTAAAATTGTTTAAAAAAGAATCTGTGCCCATACTTTCAATGAGTTGACAAGTTACTCCTTTCACAAGCTGTCCTGTGCTGATAGGAAAAGCAAAGTTCAATCTTTTGAATATCGAAGACGGATCAGGTCCTTGCTTCCCACAACCACATTCTAAGATACAGTTTCTTGACCATCTTTCTTTCCTCTTTCTTGTAATCTAAAGGCTATTGAAAGTAAAAATGTAATCAAATGGAAAAATATTGGCTGAGTCTTAAAATACCAAAACCTCTGCAATGCTTTGATCCTGATTTTGGGTTTGGAGACTGTTTTAATGAGGAAGGTGAATGATTTTGTGGTATCAAGGAATGAATACACATAAGATAGTACACATCTAGTTTACCTCAAAGTTGCTCTCATCACAAAACTAGACTTAAACCCCATTTCAAGAGCGACTATCATCCATACCTTAGCAGATCAGCAGGAGAGTTTTTCTTAGACAGTAATTCATACAGATACAAAGCCTGAAATAAAACACACCATATTTAAAGTTAAACTTAGGTAATTAATTTGTAAGATACAATAACTACTGCTTTGTATGCTTAGCTCTCTAAGGGCATTTCTGTGGCCAGGTTTGCCCAATCCAAAGGCATGGCACCCAGTGCAGATTTTTTTCTTTGCAAGACAAAACATCACAAAACATCCCATCCCATCACGGTACTATGGGATGATGTTAAACACTCTCATGGCACACGACGACAGAATAATTTAGGTCTCCAGGGACCTCTGGAGATCACCTGGTTCAACCTTTCACCTCTGTGGACAGAGCCAAAGGAGTAGCGGTACATGCAAGTGTGTGGGAGACAGCACTGGAAAAAGAACATTTATGTGGCAGAATACTGCGGACTTTTAAGCTCGGCATATTAATGCTTCCCTTTCCGTAGCACTGTCTCAGGATGCTGCCTAGGCTCTAAGTGCCCTCTGCTTGTTAATATCAAGATATATTTGGGGCAGTAGCTTCCTTTTACCTATATTCCTTGAACACATATGTATTACACTTTTCCTGTTTTCCATCATACTGAATTGCAGTGGAATGGGAATTGCAGAACAATTTTTACCTGGCTTCTTCTTAATTCTTTTTCTTTCATCATTGAAGAATTATATTCAGTCTGTTTCCATAAATCAGAAAGAGATATTTCTTTAAAGAAAGCTCCTTGTATATCTTTGACTGATGAAGCAAAATCTCCAAATGCAGCTATCTAAAAAGAGGATCAGATAAACACGGCATATCAGAACTGATGCTTAGATTCACAGGATTTGCCCTTCTTTCTATTCTGTGTAATATTTCTCTTAAGAGGATAAAGCAAAACACGTCAGTATTAAAACCACCACGGAACTAAGCAAGGGAGAACCTTCAAAATACAGTTGGTGTTCAGAAAAAAATATAAATATTAACCACTGAGCTAAAACACATGCATGGGTGACAACATTTTAAATCATGCTCTGCATATCTGGTTATTGCATTCTTGTGCAGAGAGAACCTGCTACACGCGTGAGTTTATAATCACCTTCCTGAGGATCCCTTGCTGTTGTGCGGGTGATAAGTCAGATAAGTATTGGGAGGTCGTGCCTCGAATAATCTGAGAAAGCTCCTTTGGGTTCATGCTGTAGAATGACTGGGTGCTTATACCAGTTACCAATGCGCCCATTTGACTAACATTATAAAATGATAAAACCTGCAGAGATAATCACAAAGAGAAAGTGCTCCAGCTTGTGAACAGCAGATACATGTAAAAGCAAATGTTAATAAATAAATCAAAACTATTATTGTTGGATACTTAATACATTTCTTGCCTGGGGATGCACTTTGCTCTCTTTCAATTCAGACAAGACTGTCCAGGGAACACATGTGACAGTTTTCTCAGAGGCTCCTTTTTTGAAACTTCAGAGAGGACTCCGATTCCTTCCATGACAGTATATTTGAATATACAGTTCATATATCTCTGATCTCTGACAATGCAAATTCTGCCTCAGGCAGTGATACAGACAAAATAACATATGCAACTGACAAATGCAAATAGTAATTCTCTCTGTTACTAGAGAATTACTTTGTGAGGCACAATCTTAGATGTTCTTATTTGATTTAAACAAAATTTTCAGACCATTAACAATGCTAAAAAGAAGTCTTGTACTAAGTTTTCCAAAATCTACAGTTATTGTTAGAAAAAAGTCATTTCACTTTAAAAAATCGAAGGTAGGAAAACTGTTATCAGAGGTACCTTTTCATAAGAGAGGTATTTACTGGATAAAATCATAACTTGGCTTTTTGCCCACCCAGAGACTTGGTTTAATGTTGCAATCGCATTATGCACCGCTTCAGGTGACAAAGATTCCAGCTGACTTGAAGTTAGCCCAACCACGGCATCTGACAGAGATCCAAGGACATCATTAAGTGTCTGGTTTTGCATGGCAATGTTCAGGAGTTGAGATTTGAGCTAAAGTAAACAAAAAAAAGCATATGGGAAACAAAATTGCTGAGAACCAATTTTCATTATCATCTGAAACTTTAACTGGAGTTTCTGGAACAGGCGTTGGCAACCACTAAGTGACCACACACTTCATAAAAATTCAAAAACAGAACCGCAGTTGTCAAAGTAATATAGGACTGGAGGACACAGAATGAGAAAAGAATGAGCACTGCATAAAAAAGTCAAAACTGGGCTTTTATTCTTTGCATTATACAATTGAGAACTATTTCCACTTATTTCCTAGATTTCAGTCATTTTTCACTCTTTTCTTTCCAAATTCAAGAAGAAAGTCTCTCCTCTTCTGTTTTCAGGATTAGGTTAAGCAAGAAGAATGAGCATTGTACCCACCTTTTGAACCTCAGCCTGGAAGCCCCTCAACTGATTGCATTTAATCATTTGATGAAGTAAAGCCCGGGCCACAGCAGAATCCATCTGTTCCATGTCATCATAAAAGCAAACCAGTAAACCCAGCCTATATAGAAGAAAATACATTAGCTAACTTCTGACATGAAAGGTGTCGTTCTCAGGAAACTGGAATTTAGTAAGGCATACCCCAGTTATGCTCAAAATTTAAGTCATTTCTGTCCATCACTAATGCCTTAAGCTGCAATCTTTAAAATTCCACATGGCCTGAAATGGTATGAGACATATGCACCACTCTCCATATTCAGCTGAACTCTACCCAGATTGCTTGTGCTGTCAAAAACTCAACTTTCCTGGTTCCATTTGTCTGTGGCTGGATTTTCCCAGCTAATGACTCCACTCCCCTTGGCAGAACGTGCAGTATAATCTCTGCTTGGAAAAGGACAGAGGGCTAAATACATCTCTGGAAGTCGCTCACTGAGTTCATATTTGGATCGACTAGATGTTTTGAACTCTAAATCCTGCTTGGATTTCACATGCAGCGTAACTCACTCCTGTGCCAGAGCAGCAGCTAGAGCATCACACAGCCTCTTTATCATTTTGTTTTTAGGCAAACCCTGCTGTATTTCACATCAAACATATGACTGGCCGATGAATGGAGACCTGTCCAACTCAACACTGGTCAGCAGAAAACGTGCTAAGGCTCTGTCTCGGTTGTGCCCGCACAGCAGTTTGCAAGGCTGTGAACCAGGTAATTTTCCACCACAGCACCGGGATCTAGTATTAAATTCATCATTTCCATTAACCTCTGTGAAGTGGAACCACAGCCATGGTTGGTGGAGAGCAGTCACACCACCAAGGACAAGCACCTTCCGACCTCGGCCTTGTGCTTGTTACTGCCACCACCTGCAGCCCTGCAAAGCAGGTCTGAATTCTGAATTGCTCCTTTGGGCTTTAAACTGTGTGGTGATGGTGATGAGTTCCTTTGTGGGAAGCCTGAATAAATCCCCCATCACTGTAAACAACAAGCCTTTGCTGTCATAATTTACACAGGGCAAGAACATACAAAGCCCAGCTTTCCTGCTACCGTCTCTGTTTTTAGCAATTCAGTGATACATGCATAGGCACAGTCTAGGTAATAATGTCCAGGTGTGAATGAAATCAACAGCAACGCTGCAGCACTAGCACAAATTCTGCAGCACAGAAAGCCTTTGCTGTTAGTTTTTCTAGTGCCTCTTACAACAACCTGCTTGATGATATAACAAAACACTGCTTCAGCAGCCCATCTGGATTCATGGGACATCATCAAACTAACATACAAATCAAAGAAACATCTATAACTGCATTTTTATAACAAATAATTACCTTCTGATGCATTATTGCATAGCCACCAAGAGCTCTTCATCTCCCTTGGGATTAGCAACAATGAATAATACTACTTCTTAAAAGTAAAAGTGCATTTAAATCATCAGTATGGTTAAAATGAGTAATATAAAGTAAGTGTGTTGTAAAAATGGAATATATTAAGGATTATGGAGCATGACATTTCTCTCATCTGTGAGAATGTGGCACCTCTCATGAGTGGTAAAATAATTTTTAAGATTCTTGACATTGAAATTTAGAGTGTGGGCATAATTCTTCTCTCGCTTACATCTCTGACAATCAGCAATACTTCATGGAAGTCTGAGTTACACTGCAGTAATGACCGGAGCTCTGAATCCATAAAGCTTATTCTCCATTAGTTTAAAACGCCAAGGTATCCCCCAAGGAGACTACAAATAACTTCAGACAGTGGTGTCTTGGGACTGAATACATCCACTTATACAACAGTAATATGTAAATGCGGAGTACAGCACTTTCTCACAGGTAGCTCTTGCTCACTGCATATTTATGAGTAAGAACAGTTTATTTTGTTCTTTTCATAGAATCACAGAATGGTTAGAGTTGGAAGGGACCTTAAAGCCCATCCAGTGCCACCCCCTGCCCTGGGCAGGGACACCTCCCACCAGACCAAGTTGCTCCAAGCCCCATCCAACCTGGCCTTGAACCCCTCCAGGGATGGGGCAGCCACAGCTTCTCTGGGCAACCTGGGCCAGGCTCTCACCACCCTCACAGCAAAGGTCTTCCCCAGATCTCATCTCAATCCCCCCTCTTTCAGTGTCAAACCCTTCCCCCTCGTCTTGTGCCTCCCCTCCCTGATCAGGAGTCCCTCCCCACCTTTCCTGGAGCCCCTTGAGGGACTGGAAGGGGCTCTAAGTTCTCCCCGGAGCCTTCTCCAGGCTGAACCCCCACCATCTCTCTCAACCTGTCCTCACAGCAGAAGGGCTCCAGCCCTCCCAGCACCTTTGTGGCCTCCTCTGGACTCCCTCCAACAGGTCCATAGTCCTTCTTAGGTTGGAGGCCCTTCAGGTTCAGGTTTTTATTATTCTTAAAGTTCAGTGCTACTATAACAGCCCTGAAAATGCAGTTTTCTGCTTACACACACACTAGTCATGTGCGTTTAAACGCGGCTCATGTCTGCCCTGCAAGATGTGAAGAGGATACAGGATAGGCTTTGCAGCCCTTCACTGTGTGACCTCTCTGGTGACACCCATGCCAATTAAAAACCACTTGCACTCCTGGCTGGCATGAGCTAAGGTTTCCTCCTTAAATCCTATCTGTAACATGATTTCCACAAAACACTCCCATGTTCTGTGTTTCAAACAGCCAAGGCACCTCATGTCCTGCTGTCCCAATTTGTTTTATTGATGCAGTGTACAACGTGATGGAGCTCTGACTGGGTCCCCAAGATACTGCTGTAGTCCTCCTACGAATGCTACATACTACTACTCACTGCACAGCCGGAGACAAAACGTTAGCTAATTAGGCATACCTCCAAAAATTCCTGAACTAGCAATTCTTCACTGTTGCTAACCAGGGTTACATTTCAGCCTAGATTTTTCTGCTGGAAGAAGCTATGCCATATCAACAATTTCTTCAGCTACTTATTGCCCTTCTCTATTCTCCTTACTCGTTCTCTCCATACACAGCCATAAAAGAGAAAGAAAAGCAGTCTTGCCTGTAGATAGTTGAGGCGTTTCTCATATCAAATCCTGACAAGTTTATTCTTTCCAGGAAAGCTTGTGCAAGCTCTGGTGTGATATCATACACTGCGTCCAACTGCTTTGTGGCGTTGTCGTAGCTAATGAATAGTCTTACCTGACCAGTACAAAGAAAATCAAGCATCAGGATTATGAAACAATTACATCCAATAAAATATGTTTGACACTCTAAGTTAATTGAATCCATTCATGTTCTAGAGAAAGGAAAAAGACAGATTTGGATAATACAGTATTTTTGAAGGCAAAGCTGAATGAGCGATCCTCTGTCAAACTGTCAAACAATTTGAGAGTCTTCTGTCATTGGTCCCTATCTTTCTTTCCATAAAAGTCAAAGAAGTCTGATACAGATATATAACTACACATTAATGACAGGCACTTTCAAATTCCAAAAAGGGAAGTATAGTTGGTTGACAATGGATTTGATTTCAATTTCTATTTAAGTAATTAAAATCTATAAACTTCTTTTTCATGTTTAAGTTTGCATTTGTGTTCATATTGTTTGTAGCTGACATCACTTGGCAATGATATATTCAACTACACTTTGTTACTTACTTCACTGAGACTGATTTTCAAAACTTCTTCTAATGGGAGATGGACCATGTATCTTCCCAAAATCCATAAGTTTTCCGCACTGACCCAAGAAGTTGATTCATTGAACTCTGTTTTGTACAAACAAATACTCACTACAATGTTAAGAAAGTAATTATTTTTTAAAGATATCGTACCCAGAAAATTGTTATTGGTAAATAATCAAAAAAATATCTGCAAATCAGAAAAATCCTTAGCAGTGCGAGAGTCAGGTTCCCTTCATCAGCTAGATTTTAGCACCACACTTTCATGAGCTCATACCTTTTTTTAATGAAAATGAAATAGTGATCCAAATGCCTCCAATTTTCTCATATGAAAATTATTAATGTTTTATGTTGTTGAAACAGAAAATGGATAAAGTATGGGAAAGGAAAAATTAAACCAATAGTATTAAATATGGAGTAGCGCTTTTTAAATTCAGCTTTCCTAATCAAATATATTATTTAGGAACACCAGGAAGGCATGATACTTTCTAACACTTCATACATCTTATATATTATTATTGATTATACCACTCATTTCAGCAATATGCAATAGCAAAAATGGAGAAAATGGAAAAACATTCATATACCTCTATGGAAATAGGTGGATAAAAATTACAAAATACTGCATAATAGTTTAAAAATGTCATTCATTTAGTAACATTCTCCCAAGAACTGAAAAACGAAACCATGATTCAAATATCCCCGCGAAAAATGTATTCATGGACTAGATGGGTACTTTGAGCCAAAAAGACAGTTTTTTCTCAAAGTGTCCTAATTTGGATTGCTCAATGTGTGGTGGCTCTGAACATATTCCTTAGCAGTGCTGATACAACTCTGTTAAAAGAAAATCATCAGCGCATCTTGTAGAGTTTTCAGTATCTGAAAAAAACAGCCTATAAATACCAGAAGCTGAAGAACCCCATTTAGTGATTTTTTTGAAAGCACAGATCTAAGCTCCGTAGCTGAGACAAGACGATGCTCCCAGCAGACCTGTCTGTCAAGCCTCCAATTTTTGCAGCAATATTATCTCCCATTACCAGGAACATTTAGACAGTTGAAAGTATGACAGAAGAGTTAAACAAAAACAAATACAATTTAAGGATGCTGACTGTGGCAGAACAGACTTGCAGTTACCATGCGGGGAAGCCATGATCCCCAAAAGCTGTCTGATGCTGAGGGTTTTTCCCAGGACTGCTGAGTATCATCAGGCACGTCCTGCATCCTTCTTCCCCAGTAATGCACTGGCACTAACACCACCACAGCAGCAACATCCACTTCTCTCTACCAATTAATGGGTTACCCTAGTATTTTGAAACAGCAGAAGTCCCAGGAGCCAAATTTAGCTCCAGTGAAGCAAGTGCACATTTTGCATTTGATTTCCAGGGAAAGAAGAAGAACATACACATGTAAAAGTCTAAAATGCTCCCACGACAGCACTGCCAGGATGTTCAATGAAACCCAAGCACTGGCTCCGATGCCTCAGTGCCGCTGCCACTTTATAGCCCCTCGTGGAGCCTGTCCTGCACTGTCCCAGCTGTGGCACACCTGTTTAAGACATATTAACAAGGCAAACAGATGTGGTAAAATGCATAAAATCAGAATTGATGATATCTTGTGCCATTTGAATGAGCTGGTGACATGTGCAGTAGAACTTTCACAACATCCTGCGTTTCTTTTGTATTTTTAAACAGTGCATTGTCTAATGTATTCTGAGACAGATCTATTTCTCTAGTGTGAGTAGGAGGCCAGAAGTGAACAACACCCCTGTGCAGAGTACCTGACAAATGGATCCTATTTAAGTCTTAGAAAAAGGACTCGAGTACAAGAACTTTGTGTATAACTCTGTGCAGAAGAGATGAAGAGCAAGCATCTTTGGAGAACTATTTGCCATGAATAACAAATATATTACATTTACTGTATTCTGGAGCAAAGGTATTCAAGACAGCTACTCTTAAACAGACGTGTTAAATTTGGGAAACAATTCAGTGTAACAGATAGGCCTTTTGCTGACTGTTTTTCTCTTATGATAAGCAAGAAGAAAATACTTTGTACATAACGTACCACTTGTGTTATAGGATTTTTGTAGCATCTGCTTCATCCAGCCATACAGTGCTCTCTGTGTATTTGCTGATGTTTTGTCATAGAGGTCCTTGAATACTGCTGATCTAAGTGATACAAGGACATATAAGTTCACTAATGAGATAACTATTTTTTTTAAAATGACACACTTGGACAAATACTTTTAGAAACAGTAACACATAAGCAGAAAGCTGTACCTGGAAAATAGACTGAGACTATATAGTAACCTATTTTTAAAAGCACATATAGTCAGCAAATACTACATTGAATTTATTGTGTCTGGAAAATAAATGGCTTACAAGTTTCTGAAGGCATCCTCCTGCAGAACGCTTGGGAGGCTCCCAACGACATCAGGTTGGAGATAGTTCACCCCTGACACCCGCAAAACCTGGCTTAGGATATCCACGCAGTCCAAAGCACTCAGAGCCAGAAAGCATTTATCCAGTGTTACAAGGAACAAGGTCCTGTTTACTCCTGGGCTTTGAAAAATCCTCTCTTTAGTTTTGTCCCAATCAAGAATAATATTTCCCATTTCCTGCAAGCAACAAAGGGATAAAGAATGTCTCTTTCAGTATATATATTGAATGTCTCTTTCTATATATATATACACACACAGTCAATATATTGTTCATTTTGAGGCCTGACAAAAAACATTCTACAAAAAAATATGGTGCAAAATTCTACCTGATTGCATTATTTCATATAATTCCTTTCTGGCATTGGCCAGAGACCAGCTTGAATGTTTTCATAAAATCAAAATGCAAACCAGAAAAAAATCCAAATGGTTGAAGTTATAGTGTGTGTTTGCATGAAAGAATTAGTTGCTTGGAAAATGAAAGGATATCGGGATGGAATGGTTATCATTTCATACATAGTTTAGTATTGCAGACGCCTCTAGAACAGACCTTTCCCCATGCAGTATTTCTTGCAGCTGTTACTACAAACACCCCTTCCAGAAGATGGCGCAAGGTCAAAGAACCCAGGGAACAAGTCTCCCTGGCTGGGGATGGATTATGAGGCTGCTCCTCTCACAAGTGGCGTGTCCAGAGCCCACAGTTGCAGCCTGGCCATCTGCTCATGTGACACTATCAGTCCTGGAAGGACTGGGCACAGCATTTGAGAGGACAAAATCTACAGCTACTGAGTTATGCTGTGCTGCGCTGGCTGCGGTGCGTGCTGCACACCCATCCTGTGAGCAGGGGCTGCACCCTCCATCGTTGGAGCGCTGGATGATACTGCCCTTGCTCTGGGCAGTTGACTCGTGCATTCGGGAAAATGCTCTCCCTTTCTCCCGGATTCAAGCGCTCTCAGACACCAGGCTGTGATCCCACCCCTGCAGCGGGGACCTCCCTGGTGCCCCTCGCTGACTTTGAGTGAGGCTTTTAAGATGGGTCACACAGGGAACGCACCAGAGGCAAGCGAATGTGCTATGCTGCCTCCCCTCCAAATTGCCTAACAATCCACTTGCACGCTCCACAACTAATTAGCAAGATAATTTCACCTTCTTTAGTCCTCTTAGTTATCTTTCTAGACACTTAAGAGAAGCAAATGCTCCCTGAGAACAACTGGTCCCACCTACCTCAGACACTTGCATAGGGAGGTAAATCACGCTCTGGAGATGCGTTTTTTTCCCACTGATTACAGAGAAAATCCAGATGACTGACTTGGACTTGGCACCAAACTTTTAAACAACAAGAATTAAATTAAATAAACTCAACCTAAGGAGCGGGGCTCCTGGAATCTAATCCAAGCCAGCTAAGTAACTGGGTGGTGTGCACTGAGAGACCCCCTGCCCGGCCCTTTCCCATTTACCCAAACCAGTGACAGCAACTTCTATTCTTCAGAAGTGCAAAGCAACTTACAAGATGGTCCTTTCTGAAGTTGAAGAGATACTTCATCGCAGTTTGGAACTGCTGCTGATCAAGCTGTTGAAATTCAGACAGTAGTTGCCTAGGCTGGTATAAAAGGCTCTTCAGGTAACTTTTTATGGACATCTGAAGTATAGAGAAATATGTGCAATATAGATAAAACTTGTACTACTGCACTATGGCCACCTTTTACTCCCTGAAAATCTCAATTTAAGGAGAGGTAAATGCTTAGCTCCTGTATTGCCTGTGTTGTCAATGACTACAGTAACTATATTCAACACAAACTGTAAACAAAAATAATCTGAATGTAACGCTGAAAAAGAGTAAATTTTGAATCCTGTTCTTGGTTTCATGAGCAAGTCATCTCCAGTGAGCCATTTAACAACAATGCCTCAGTTTCTCACTTCATAAGACAAGAGTAATAATGCTTTTCTGCTTCATGCAGCAGAGCTATGAAAATGAACCTTTCCTTTAAAGAGCTCAAAAAAAATGAGGTACTGTGTGCATATTATTATTACTTAAAAAAAGGAAGGAAATGTGCAATCAGATGGGAGGAAAAGTCTGTACCACGTTGTAAGGCAAAAATATTGTCTCTCACATCAAACTGCATTACCAGCTAACCATCTCATGCCTGTTTTGAAAATCTAAGGGGAATTATAACATTGGAACAGAAAGCGCTGTAAGGCTCACTAGCACCAGGCTGGAGTAAAATCCCTTCTAATTCCTGACAGAATTATTTCAAAATTGGTTTGGAATTTGAGTTAAAACTGTTCTTTGTTGGTTTTGCTCAGCTTGCATTGCCACCAAGAAATATGAATATAGCGGGGTCCTTGTTGCCCAGGGGGTTCAGGCCTGATTACAGCCCTAAACTGTTAATAAACTTAATCAAATGGGAAGCGGCAGCATCAGTCTCGTGTACCCTTGGGTGGGCTGTACCAGTGAAATGGAGCTTGGGAGAAGGTCTGCGCCGTGAAGCTGCACGGTCGGGGGCTTTGGGATCACCTGAGGCTCAGAGATTGCATATTGGGCACTTTCCTTCCCCAAAGCGTGCAGGGAGGGGGTGAGCTGTGATGAGGCCACAGCTCCACTTGAACCAGCTGGTAAACTCTCACAGCCTCTCATTCCACCAGAAACAGTACAAACTACAGCCATGGCCACAATCTGGGAGAAACCTGCCATTTTGTGGAGAAACAACATGTGGATACACTCAATTCAGAAACAATGGCTAAGCCTGAAAATGCTGCTCTCCATCAGAGGAAAAGCTAAGAGATCTTCTTTCTTATTTCTGCCGTGCATACTCCTGCAATCTTAGGGGAAAAAAACAACCAAAAAACCTATTCCCATTTTCTACTTGTCTGCTACACTGTAGATCTGTTAGTTATCTCTACTATTGACAACTTAGCTTTGGTTACAGACATAGGTTGCTTTTTTAATTCCTTTTTAAATAAGAATTTTCATGCATTTTAAATGGCACAAACCTGTAGGCTGCTAAGAGTAAACATAACTTCCTGGGCATGAAAATACGCCATGACTTTTGTAAGTGTATCTGCTGTCCAAACATTGGAACTGTAACAGAAAACAGGACCAAAAATGCCAGTAAAATAATATAACATGTAAAATAGCAGATTACAAGACAAAACAAGAATAAGAAAAGCAAACACTGTTACTCACACTATAATGACACAATGTTCAGCTTTTTGGCCTAACAAGACTGATAGACAACCTATTTAATGCAATGAAAACGTGTAGTTCAACAAGGAATGCAATGAATTACTTATATTTTTTTAAATCTAATCCCACAGCCACCCACAATAATCTCAATTTTCCATCATGCTGCTGTTAGTACCATCTCCAGGCATGAGACAAGCTGTGTCGTCGCTGGTCCGGAGCTATAGGCGTGTGAGCTGGCACCCTGCTGTGCCTGTTCTGCTCTGCTTGTAGGAAGAAAGTTCAGTCTGCTGCCTTTCCCCCATTAGAGGCTTTAATTTCAGCCTGTCTTCTTTATGCAGCCATTGATTTTCTCAAAACACGTAGGAGTTGATTTGCCTTTGAAGCTTATATTGCTCTTTCAAATTTAGACAAAATTAGCAATTAATTCAAAAGTTGCCAGGAGCTGGAGGAAATGGGATGGATGGTGGATGGAACAGCACTGAAAGAAGATGGACAGAAAGCTGGAACTGCACCTAATTTTCTTAAGAAGCCATTCAGAAACATATGAACAAGTTAATTACCAAAATTTCTGAGAACTGTAGCAGATACTTATTCTATGCCTCATTCTATGCATGTTTTTTGCTTTACCATGAAAAACAGTGTTTTCCTTGTTAGGAGGAAATACTCTTCACAGGGGATCTAAATCAAAGTAATCCTATGTGCCAATTTCATTCTATCCACAATCTCCCAGTTTCTGTGGAAATGAAACAGATCATATCTGAAGTGCAAGATAATACCGAATATCAAGATGTTGAGAGTAATACATTACCTCTGAAAATGAAGTATATCAAGGAGGGCTACACATGAAAAATGGAACATAAAATGTTATGGTGAGATATTGAGTTTTAATTCCTTTCAGAAGCAGAAGTGGGAACAATTTTGTACATTACCATTCAGATATTTCCCAGTTATTACTTCCTCCTAAGGAAAAAATTATAAATATATGTAATAAATTATTATTTTTAGATTATATTATAAAATGTTAGTAGAGAGATCAAATAAAAATACTAACCACAGCTTTGTGTAATAATGGCAGCAAATCTGTAAAAGATTATCCTGTTACTAAAAGTGGATTTAATGTTTTACCATTCAACTGTATTATACAAAAATACATGTGTATTATACAGTGAAATTATATAATCTATTTCTAAGCATTTAATGCAGTTCTGATTGAATGTATTTACAGAAAAACAGTGACAATAAAAGTCTATTAAATAATAAGCAATCTTGGTTAAAATCTTTGCTGGCATAGCTCCATGAAGTCAAGGCAGCAGAAAACATGGTCCTAGTTACTAAACAGCACTGCATCTATTTTACTACACATAGCTTCTTCCATCCACACAAAACACATCCCTCGTACAGGAGTTCTGGTCTTACCTTCAGAATCCTGACTGTGTGTAATCTCAGCATGACTCACTGATATCAGTAAGAAACATATCTTCAAAAGTCTGGACATTTCTTCTAGTGTTTATTAGAATCAGAACATATTTGGATTGAAAAGGAAAATCAAAAGAACAGAGTCAAAAGGCAATATTCACCCAAAACTTTCATAGCTATAAATCAGAGACAGTACAGAGTGCAGATTGAGGTCAGAATGATCTAAAAGTGCTCGCTCCCAGTTTTCACATTTAGATCTTTTTCCAGGATAAACGTATCTTTTATGCAAATACAAGTCTGCTGAGTGTGCCTGTGCAGCCAGATTTAGTTCCCTTTTACCAAACAGCTGTTTTAATTTTCTTCCTAGGAGCACCGTATATTTACTAAGCCACATTCCACCTAATATTACTTAAACACGGTTTTGTTAAAGCAAAAAAACCCAAATCTTTTTAAACTCAGATAAAACAGAAAAAAAAAAAATAGAGGGAGTGAAAAAGGAGATAGTAAAGAAGCCCGGATTAACCCCAGGCTGTGTCTAGCTCGCGAGGTTGCCTGCAGGGTCACCGCCAGCGGGCCCAGGACCCGCAGCCCCCCAGCACGCAGAGGTTGGTTAGTGTTGGTGCCAGCTCGGGGCAGGGGGTGAAGGAGCACGACCCCCACCACCACTGCAAAAGGGGGAGAACATCCTTCTGCCCCTCTGAAGTGGACAGAAAGCGACACATTTGGGAAATACATTTGTCACTTCACTCAGTGGGATCAAAGCTCTAGTCCGTGCACTCATGAGAAAGGTACCATCAGGTTCTCAACACCAGCTAGGACACAGATTCTGTGCAAACACATGCTTTACTAGCTCTTGCTATCCTTGCTACCCTGTGCTATGCACCATAAAGATAACCAAAAGATAAATTAGCTGGAAGAGCAGTAACGGGACACCTGGAGCTTTTCGCCAGGGTGTCACTGATTCTCATCGGACAACACTGACAATCTCACCGTTGTCTTACATGAAATGAATTTGTTGCTTTCCGTCTAGCTCCTGAATGACAAGGATGGACACCACAGTAGCACAACGGGGCAGAAGGGAATCAGCAACAGAGCAGGTCCCACTCTCACAGAGCCCCTCTGCAGCACCGAGGACCACAAGCTGCCTCACCCCACATTGCACCACACTGGCTGCCGTGAGGATTTCTGCCTCTGCACCCCCCCCGCACCAGGTCATTGTCTTCATTCACTTTATACAAAAGTGATGCTTATTTCTGCAGAAGTGGGCTGTGTGTGTTTTTGTGAAATACAGTATGAACACCCGACACAGACATCTGCCCATAAAACACAGCGGCTCCTACAGCTTGATCTTTATCACATTTAGGGCCCTGATCTTACCTGCCATCAGAGAGAGCTGTAAGTTGAAGGGGAGCTGTGGGTGCACAGCACTTGTGCAAATCAAAGAGGAAAATATTCAGGTGTCTCTGAATTTTAAACAGTTGAGCTCTAGAACTGAGATGTTGTCTTTCCTCTTTCTCCAAATTGTAATGATATTCAAGAGTAAGATGGCTTCCTCTAACTAAAACTGCCTTGTGAAAGCCAGTGTGTTTTTTTTTCTTTTTACATTAAGTTCTGGGTAGCAGAAGGAAAGAGCATTACTCCGTCTTTGTAATCTAATAAACTTAATAGGTTTTGAATGGCTTTTTGACTAAGGAATAAATAGCTACATCAAAAATTTATGAACACGAGTCCTTCTTTTGACCAACTTTGGCACAGATCTGGTTCACTGCAAGAAATGGCTTTTGGCCCACAGCTGAATTTGCTGCATGTGCCAATGGGGCTATTCCTGCCATCCCAACGTCAGCTCCCAGCCCATCCCTGAGCTTCCACCCACCTGGCCCTCTGCCCAGCCACCAGAGTCATCTTCCCCCCAGGTAAAGCAATTAATTAATCTAGGATATTAGATGATGCCCTGTTCTACGGATCATAGCTTCTTACACTGGGATTAGTCCTTGATTTTAGCAAATGACATGGAGGTCCCCATTGGCCAACTTCACTCTGACCCTAAGATGACTTTGTTAGGTTTTCTCTCCCTTTCCTTCATTTCAAGGGTTTACTTGCAGCCACATTTAATTTCTGCATTTCTTTTTTGTTGCTGGATTCATTTTATTTTCTTTTTTTTTTCAGAAGTTTTTTGCTGCGGCTTGAGTTACAGATCTGAATATTTGATAAATACAAACATCTTTTTCAGATTGTTTAATCTCATGTATCAGCAAGGTACTCTTTTATGAAAGCATCTTTCAACAGCCTCTAGCAATACTTCGGTCTGTTGCAAATACTTAACTCCAGTCTTGAACAGGAGTGACTCAAACTGACAGATGATGAAAAATTTAAACACCAGATTTTAAGAAGCTATCCCCTCTGTCCTGTTCTTGCACACACTGAAACCCTTCTCAGCTATTCTTTTGGGAACGCCACATTACACGTCTCTCATTCAGACGTATCCTATTTCCTAGACAATGAACTTTCTTGTGTTTGTTTCTGCCTTTGCCCTATTAATTTTGCAGCAAGGTTTCATTCCTCTGCATATTTAAATCATGCTACCAATGTCAATCCTAATTTGTTTATTACAACTCATTCACTTTGATCTGGAGTGCATTTTAATTAAAGCACACTAAATTAATATATAAGGATATTAAATGCTAGAGAAAGTGCTTTTTTATCCTAACTCCAGTGCACAATTAGCAGGTGCAGAAAAAGCCTGCTGATAAATAGCCCTGCTTGATAAAACAATCTGCAGGATGAAATAATTCCTTTTGCGGGTGAAACCAATCTGTTTGCAGAAGGTGACTGCAGCTTTTAGACATCCCCTGATCACCCTGTGGGGATCTCTTGCATCCCATCCAGCATTTCCCCAGAGATCGTTCCTTGCACTACAGCATCTGCTCTGATCACATCCCTGAGATGTCACCCTTGCAGGACTCCCCGGTCACGAGGAGCTTGCAGATTGCCTTCTTTAGCTCCCTAAACAGATGCTCTTCCGTGTAAGAAATCCTAGACATTTTATCACTCACTCCAATGCAGCTGTTGCCTTATCTGAAGCTTGATAACCAGAAAGATAACCTCATAATCAGAAGTCTTGCTGATAAACCCTTGCACAACCGGCAGCCAGGCTCCCGGCACCTCTGCAGAACAGCCCCATGCGCAGCGAGAAACCTCACAGGGTCCTAGCTGGAGAGAGGGGAGCCAGGGGAGGGCAGGAGAGAAGAAAGAAACGGAGGGTTCCTGGGGAGAGCCGGGACCCCCTGGCACTTTACCTGCCTCCGCCGTGTGCCTCCTTCCCATGGTCGCGGTGCAATGAGCAGGGCGTCTGCGGCGGGGATGCAGGGCAGGGACCGGGAGCGGGGCCAGCACCGCCCATAGCACCACGGGGGGGGACGTCTCATCAGCAGGGGCTTAGGGGGCGAGGGACTCCACAGAAGGCAAAAGAGGACACTTCTCCCGAGATGGAGAGAGAACACCCAGGGCCAGGCTGGTGCCATCCCACGCCCCCCACACCCCTGGCAGAACAGGGACTGTACCTGGGACCACCCAGCAAAGGGGCTGCGGTTTCCTGAAGATTAAGTTGTTCCAACTTTGTGTTGAAAGCTTCTGACTAAATCATGCCCTTGCTCAGCACTTTTTTCCTGCGAGGCAGCACCTCCCGCGCACCTTGACAGAACAGAGAGCTCAGTTACTCTGCAGGGCAGAACATGCACACGCGCGAGGACTTGCACCGTCACCGACAGCCGGAGAGGCACAGCCGAGAGACGAGGCAGGTCCCCCAAGCCTGGGACAATGAACTTGGACATGGGACTTACAATAAACACTTGTCCCCTTGGAAGACAGTACTTCAAGCCATTTAATCAATGACTGGACTCAAGAGTTTCTTTGCGGGGGCTGTGTGAACAGACATTAACCACACACAAACCCTCACTGTCTGGCAAGAGAGAGCAGCCCCTTTGCCCCAACACAACGGGCCACACTGTGCCCTTCCTTCACAAGGAACTCTGATTGTACATGAACAGGTGTAGGTACAGTCCCTTGGTGCCATTCAGTATGTTCAACAGGACTAAGCAGGCTTTGGACCATGCTGGATTTAAGCTTACTAAAACATGAGCAATAACAGGGAAAAAGCTATGAACTGAGTAAGTTCTAATTCCCCATCTCAAGTGTAAGAATAGTTGTTTAGAGGGAACAAACCATGAAATCATAAGAAAAAAACCCCACTGTTATTTAGCTTGTACCTTCTGTCCCCAAATTTCTCAAAGCTATTACAAACCAAAGTTCCAAGTGACAGGACTAAAAGATACGAGATGTGAAATGCATAGTCTTTTGTGTGATTTTTAGCCCATGGGATTAAAACATTTAAGTACCTTTGAAGAAGTTTGTCTTAATATATTATCTGCTATAGGAAGCTAAATTCATTACACATTAAGGAACATATTTTCCCACTTCTAGATGAGCACAAATGAAGGTAACAAACCAAAATGAATGGATTCGCTCCCAAGCTTACATAGCTTGCACTCCACAGCTTACATGTTTCCAACTCACGAACTGGATTGTACTCTGTGCCAAAATTCAACAGCACATGCTGAAACAAGAATAATACTGAACCTGAGTTACTGTTGAAAAACCCACCAGTCAAAGCCCTCGCCCCATACTATGGAATACTTACCATTCGACAAGATGACAAAGAATAAAAGGTGACTACATTAGAAAGAGAAATCACTAGCCATCAGACAAAGAAAGTCCAAGATAAACCTAAAAAGACACACTGAAACATCCTACCTGGCATAAGATCACCAATTGTCAAAAAAAACCCAAACAAAAACCACAATGCACAACTTTTTTAGACTTCAAAAGCAAAAGTAAGTCAGTTCTTACTTTACTTACCAGCTGATATACAAGCTGAGGTCTCTGCTCTCTCACAACACTTACATCCCAAGCAACATACAACACTGCTGCCAGCACATGCTGCTTGTTGTTTTAAAGGAAGATTACATCCCAACTGCCAGAAACTATCAATTTTAAACAGAGTTTTTAGAATAAAATATGTTAAAATAAATAGCATTTGCTTAGTACTCCCACAGAAAGGAAAACGTACCAAGCTAGCAAAACCTTCAAAATCAGGTCCCTGTAGCCTGACCCCCAGAGGCAGTTTGACTCACAGAATTTGCAAGGAACTGCCTGCATGTCTTTTAAGCTGAAAACTTTTGGGAACAATTTGCTTTTAAAGTTTGTTACTAAGGCCATCAGTTTAAAGTGCAAAGTTCTGGCGAGTTTTACCATAAACCCTGTCGCTGGAAAATGGCCTATGCAAAAGCAGTAAGGATTTATGAACTTTGAGAGGAACATGATAGAAACCCAATCAGAAGTGATACATTTTTTGCGGACTGTTATGCCTTTAAACAATAGTTAAATGCTGTTCAAACCAAACACAAGGTTGTGCTGTTACTGAGAGTTTGAGTCCCAACACAAAGAGCAGTTGCTGCAGGCCAGTGTGGCTATGGTTACAAATGCGAACACAAAAATTAATGCAAAAAGTCATCTCAAAAAAAGTTTATTAGCATGATTAAAAACATGTGAAGAATGACAGCAAGAGAGAAGTTAACTTAGCATGGAAGAATATCCATTTCAACAGTTTATATTCAACAAGGCCTGAACTGAGTGGATAACTTTATTGCCAGATTTTGCTTCATTTCTTTAAGAACTGTTCACATTTTATCAGTTTCATCATTATTAGGACTATTGCTTTTGTTTGAATCTGATCCCTGTTGCAGGTAAGTATAAAAAAATATCCCCCATTACTGCTGGATTGCAGAATGTACTGTTGGTTTTAGAGTTGGTAAAAAAAGAAATTATCAACTCAAGAGTCTGTTTAAAAAAACACCTTTTTTTTTTTCCTAATCACACTACAAAGAAATACATTAGTATTTTGGCCTTTAAATTTCTTACATGGTATTTATTTAGCATGGCAGTCCCCGAATTCCCTCCCTTTAAGTAACCGTAAATCAAACCTCTCTTGCAGAGGCTGCTTCTTGGGATAGATTCTGGAGATTTACTTCATACACGCTTACACAGGCTTGAGGACGAAGACAGCGTCGTCTAGTACATAGTAGTCATTATACATATCACCTTCACATAAGTACGGCAGTCTGGTGAAAGCCTCTATGGCAAAACCAGCTTTACTGAACACTTCTGGCAGGCTATTCACCTGTTCTTCCCAAGTGTGCCCTTTGATTTCCAAAACTTCTGAGGGCTTTTCCCACTTGCCACCTACTGAGAAAACAAAACAGTTTTGTTTAAATTACAAATAAATTTACAAATTAAATTACAAAGAAACTTTATGTTTTGCATTTTCTTACAGAAAGCATACTACAAAGATCAGGTTCCATTCCACTCCAAACAAGAGGTTGACAAGCCATTTGTAGAGCTGTTGGAAGCATCAGTTAAAGGTTTTGCCTATTGTTCAGAAGGAGCTCTCTTTTGTGACATTTTTAACTGGCAGTCCTGAGCCTGGCTGAAAAGTAATGTCAATTAGCGAGGCTGGTGTTCAGCAGACAAAGACAGACAGGCAATTTAATGCTTTTCCAGCATTATAAAATTCTTTCTTTATGCTCACAGTCTGGCCAAAGATGGCGTCAGGTAATTATAGTATATCGAGCCAGCAAGTTGAAAATTATGCTTTGCTGTGAAGCTTCCATCAGCAAACCGCCACATTTGCATGGATGGCTACAGAACCTTTGGTCCTCCAGTGGCCACCTACTAGCTGATACAGTAAAGACTGCTTACAGTCATAAAAAATTAAGAAGCCGAACACTTGTATCACATTGGAAAACCCATTGTCATTTGTTATAGCTGATAAAATAATCTGAAGGTTATAGGCACAACTCTCAGAAGTTCAAAATTTAAAACCCTCCACCCATTTTTCCAGTAACGTCATCCAGAAATAACAAGTGTTTTCTGGTTTGCTCTGTACCTTTAAACAGTTTGCTAAATGCAGTTGTAAACACCCTTCTAAACAGGAAGTTTTAAATCTTGTGATTCAGAGCGTTCTGCAACTCCAAAGATTTCCTAAGTTCCTCTTCCTTCAAGCAGAATCATTTCCAAAGAGATACAAGAAATGGCATCTTTCAACAAATTAAAAAACTTCCTGATGCTGGCATTTGACTGGATTCTGTATGGTGCTGGTAAGACTTTTGTTTAAGCTTCTTGTATTTTCCTATGTAATAGCAGTTAAACAAGACTGAAAAAGTTGTGGTTATGATTTGCAACATAGCTACAAAATAAGGGCAGTAAGAAGTTTTGCTGAGAATCAAGCTAATTTCTGCTATCTTCATGCAGCTTCCAAATTAATCAACTGTTAACAAATGCTTTTTCTTCTGAAAGTCAGAAATCATAGATTACAGGAGCATTTCAGGGTCAAATTCTACCGCACATCCCTGCAAAGAAGGGTCCTGCAGCAGCAGCGTGGCTTCAGTGTGGCTGTGCTATTTGGGAGGAGGGTTTGGGAAGTTCGGCAGCCAGTTCCTACACAAACTGGAGCCATGAAGCCCTCCTCTGCAAGACCACCCAGAGCCCTGGGGTGAGGGGAAAAGATATGGGATCAGCTGTGGAAGCACCAGCTACTGCTTCTCACCACAGCCGGTGGTGAGGACTGTGACAATTTAAGATTACCACAATCTTCAGATTGCTGCAGCTGCTGTGGAATGGCTCTGATGTTGATCTGACCCAGAAGCAGAGTTTCACTTTATCCCTGTAGAAGTCAGACACTGAATCTGCTTGGATTTGGTCCATAAAACACTCAGTGAGAAAAATGACGAAGGGTCAGTGCTGATTGTCCCCAGTGGACAAGCTTATAAATTGTGTATCAGCAGTAGATTAAGAGACTTCAGTGTATTTTTCTTATAATTTGTTATTTTCTAGGAAGCAGAAAAGGATGCTGTTAAGTTTCTACCTTCATTTTCACTGCAATAACCTCAATTCCATTGTTTAAATGGAAGCAATTCATTTGAATATAATTAAATATACTAGACCAGTATTTAAATTATGAATTTCAATAAGGACTTAAAAAAACCCTCCCAGACTAGTCATACTAAACCTTAGATTTCAGTTCCTTAATTAGAGTTCTCTTCTCTGATTATCCTTCCTGTTTTCTCTACACACGTTTTTAAATATCAGAACTAACAAGCAATATTATTATCCTTAGACACCCAGAGTCAATACATGTGATGAAGTGGAAGAATGTTTAGGAACTACTATGAATCCTAACCAATGTTAGGAAATGGCTGTTACAAACGTCTCCATTTACAGCACCTCCACTGCCTGCCGTCGGGCTGTCTGACTTGACTCGCAGATCAGGAACAGCTGAGGAGAGAAACGCTTGCAGAACTACTCCTCTGAGCATGTGGAGTTATGTCACACAACATTCCCAAACACTCAGGACTAATCCGAGGCAGAAAACTACAAAAAGTATTCTTTTGGTCTTCTCCACCACTGAAGGAGACATTCACATTATTTTAGATGTATGAATCTTCTCTATACTTTTTCAGAAAAAACTAAATTAAGCAGATTACCACATAGGTAAAACTGCTAAATGGACAAGCTGTAGGAATTATCGACAGTTTGCTGGAAAGAACCTTAAAAATGTCAAGTTCAAAATGCAGTTGGTTTTCCTCTTTTCCTCCAATGAACCAGAAGGTTAATTTTCTTTTTATATCATGCCTTGCTTTTTCCCTGTCCCTCACACTACGAGCTGTTTATTCTCAACAGGTGCTGCAGAATCCTGTCATGTGACTGTAACACAACCCAGATTTCAGGAAGCCAACTACTCCATGCACACTGTGTTCCTAACATGTGCTTTCTCTGCCTCTGGATGCTCCTCGTCCCCACCTGAAGTGCTATGGTTTCGTTTTTTAACTAACAAACACGAGGATTTGTGTACTCCTGGATGCACAGATCATCAGAAATACCAAGTACATTTCTCACCAGGAAATAACATTTCACTTCAGATTAATGATCTGACTGTAGACGACAATGCTGTTTATATCTGTGGAATAGCATTTTCAGATTCAAGTTCACCCCATTCTAAACAAGCAGGAGATGGAACAGTACTAATGAAAACAGGTCAGTTGATAGATCCTTCTTAATGAAGCATCTTAAAAGAAATGAATTATCTTTCCTAAATACTCCCTTTTCTTCCACTTTCCAGAATGGCATTTAAGGTGGAAATACCAACAAAACTGTTAGGAGGACTACGACTACATTAAAATATTTATAGTAAAACCATGGAAGGATTCTACAAATAAGCATCTTAATCTTGTTTGCTAATTAGAATGTTCTGTCATATAAGGCAAATGACTCTAGAAATTTACAAAAGAAAGAAGTTTTTGTATTCTGTGTTATCTAACAATACTCTACATCCTCTTACATAAAGACTTCAATGTCTATCAGAAAGGAAGTATCAACAGAAAAATGAGAAGTAGAGAAACTGACATTTACTGGAAATAGGTGCCAAAGTAGAGGGTCCCAGAACCGGGGATTCACTGGGCCAGCCTGCGCAAAATGTTTTGGCTCTGAACCTTTGTATCATTTGCCTTCTAGTTAAGGAAGTGATCAGACTTCATTAACTACATTTCAGTTTTACATGCCTAAAATAGAAAAAAAAAAAATCCAAACAACCAACTAGTTGGATGATTACTTTCCCTATCTTCCTTCCTTCCTTCCTCTATCTAATAGCACTTCTGAACAAAGGTCTGTAAGCTTTATTCAGATATTCCTTCACAAGAGCAGAAAACTGGATTCTATTCTCTGTCTACTCCTCAAGGAAGGGTTCATAATCAAAACCAACAAGTCTCCACTGCCCTTGCAAACGTTCACAGAAACAAAAGTGATGTCACTAAGGAATTCAGATTAAAAATGAACCAGAAAAAACTGGTGGGTTTTTCAATTCCTCAAGAGGAAGGGGGGTGACATGCAGAATCCTAAGAAAATTTTGTGAATCTGAAGAACTGTCCTTTACTCTAACACTCACTTTTAATCAAGGAGCAGAGCAGCAGCACAGCAATGGAAAAGTCATCATGATCATAGCCTCATCCTTACTGTTTCTGTACAGTACGACTGTATTCACACTCTTTGTACTCTACAAGGTAGGCTCAAAGTAATTCTTCTGATTTTGTTTATTTTGTAAATCTAAGCAGTTTTAACATCTCCATAAGACATTCCTAGATTCTACAACTTTTATGATTAAGTTTAAAAGAGGTAGTTGAAGATCACACGCTGCACGCATCTGCAAACTTGCGTGGCGCATACCTGTACTCCCAACAGTGACCACATTATCTTTTTTCAGTAAAGTGTCTAAAAGAAAAGGTATTCTAAAGTTAAAATTATCCTGAGAGTAATTATCAGCAAGTTGCACGTTACCTGTCAAGGCACACTCAAAAAGCAGAACTAGAAGTCACCATCATAAGTCATCAACTCTCTGGATTAGTTTCCAGCAAAAGCAAAATAATTTAAATTTTCTGTTAAAGTATTAATGAGCTGCAGCTGCAAACTGAGTTCACTTCTGTAATGAAATTATGTTCATACATCATACATATACGGAATAAGGACCTTGGTAAAATTTAAAAATATCAGCGACATGGAAGAAGTTCTATGCTTATAGGAAAAATTGTGTTTAGTTAAAAAAAACCAAACACACCCAAAGCTACAACTGGAATCTTTACATATAAGGAGACTTTGATGTGAGAATGAGGACTTCACAGTCCTAAGTGGTATGGTATGGTATGGTAAAAAGGTTCTTCGCTGTAGTGATCAGTGTCTAAGCATAAAGACAGGACAGTATTTTTGATTTTTGCTTTTCTTCAAACTAGGCGAAGCAGTATAGTGGGAAAAATGAATCAAGCCTTCCTCAAGGGAAAAAACTGATGTCCGAGATGCCATTGGTTTATTTTTGAGAACTGGGTAGCACTTCAGACAGGTCCCACTGTCCTCAAAGCAAAAATACTTGTAATATCTACTACCAGAAACTGAAAAAGACCTTTGACACTTGAAAACTTCCCTGATTTTTCAATGGTATAAGCTAATCTAATGATTTATCTACACACTGTTTGATGCTGTAAAAGGGCAACGCGTTTAACTATTCTGCTACCTTAGCAGTTGGCTTCTCATCTTATGTTTTAATCAGTTTTTATTTTATCATCCCTCTCCAGTTAAAACCAAAGCTGCTAAAGAAGAGTGGGAATGAAGACCAGAGAACAGACAACTGTGTATGTTACCACTTTGCTTGCTTTGTCTGTGATTCAGAGGGGGTGGGTTTTATGTCTTTAAGTATATTGGGCACCAATTCTGTGATTAATTGATGACTGATGAAGAGACATTCAGAGCTATTGAGGCATCACTTCAGATTTGTACAAAACTAGTTAATGATTTTGCATTTAACTAATTTTAACTAAATTATTAATCAATTTATTTTTAACTAATTGGATACAGGATAAAGGCAATCTACGTAAAGGCCATCTCTAATACACAACTTCCTTTAGCTTAAGTAAGTTTTGTTCAAACTTCTTCTGAAAATAACAAGTTTTGCTAATAATTCTTTTTTTTTTTTGCTTAAATGGTGCATTCAGGTAAGCCCTCATGTATTTAAAACAGCTCTATTAAGAACCTCTGTCACCATGTATCCTTGAATAAAAATCAGAAGCGATACATTTAAATATCTATTAAAGGTGTATATGTTAAGAGATGTAATATTAATGTAATTTAGAACCCTTCTGCCTGCCATATGCTATTTAGCAACATTCCCAAAGACATATACAGGGAAAAAATCAAAATGATAAAAGGTAGAAAAAGATGTTTCCCTCCACTTCAAATGTAGGATTGACCTAAAATATTTTAAATAATTTGCAGAAAATCAGTAGCGGACGAAAAATTTTTCAAGCAATTGCCCAAGAACTTCAAAAGCAGAGGTACGCTGAACATTGCCAACAGCCCGTAAGTATCTATAAGCCAATACTGAAATTCACGGGGGAAAAAGAGCAACTGACAGTTTTAAGAGTATATAATTTCTATTTCCTCTGGTTTCCTTTTTTATAAAATGGTTTGTGTTGGAAGGGATCTTTAAAGATTATTTAGTCATACTCCCCCCACCCTGGGCAGGGATACCTCCCACCAGACCAGGTTGCTCCAAGCCCCATCCAACCTGGTCTTGAACCCCTCCAGGGATGGGGCAGCCACAGCTTCTCTGGGCAATCTGGCCAGGGTCTCACCACCCTCACAGCAAACAAGTTCTTCCCCAGATCTCACCTCAATCCCCCCTCTTTCAGTGTCAAACCCTTCCCCCTCGTCCTGTGCCTCCCCTCCCTGATCAGGAGTCCCTCCCCAGCTTTCCTGGAGCCCCGTTAGGGACTGGAAGGGGCTCTAAGGTCTCCCCAGAGCCTTCTCTTCTCCAGGCTGAACCCCCACCATCTCTCTCAGCCTGTCCTCACAGCAGAGGGGCTCCAGCCCTCCCAGCACCTTTGTGGCCTCCTCTGGACTTCCTCCAACAGGTCCGTGTCCTTCTCATGTTGGGCAGCACTGGGGGGTGTCTCCCCAGAGCGGAGCAGAGGGGCAGAATCACCCCCCTTGCCCTGCTGGCCACGCTGCTGGGGATGCAGCTCAGGGTGTGGGGGCTTTCTGGGCTGCCAGCGGACATTGCCAGCTCATGGCCAGCTTTTCTCCCCCCCACACGCTCAAGTCCTTCTCCTCAGGGCTGCTCTCCATCCATTGTCCACTCAACCTGTATTTGTGCTTGGGATTGCCCTGACCCATGTGCAGGACATGGCACTTGGCGCTTTTAAAGTTGATAAAGGTCTAAAAAAAGCTTCCCCAGATCTCACCTCAATCCCCCCTCTTTCAGTGTCAAACCCTTCCCCCTCGTCCTGTGCCTCCCCTCCCTGATCAGGAGTCCCTCCCCAGCTTTCCTGGAGCCCCGTTAGGGACTGGAAGGGGCTCTAAGGTCTCCCCAGAGCCTTCTCTTCTCCAGGCTGAACCCCCACCATCTCTCTCAGCCTGTCCTCACAGCAGAGGGGCTCCAGCCCTCCCAGCACCTTTGTGGCCTCCTCTGGACTTCCTCCAACAGGTCCGTGTCCTTCTCATGTTGGGCAGCACTGGGGGGTGTCTCCCCAGAGCGGAGCAGAGGGGCAGAATCACCCCCCTTGCCCTGCTGGCCACGCTGCTGGGGATGCAGCTCAGGGTGTGGGGGCTTTCTGGGCTGCCAGCGGACATTGCCAGCTCATGGCCAGCTTTTCTCCCCCCCACACGCTCAAGTCCTTCTCCTCAGGGCTGCTCTCCATCCATTGTCCACTCAACCTGTATTTGTGCTTGGGATTGCCCTGACCCATGTGCAGGACATGGCACTTGGCGCTTTTAAAGTTGATAAAGGTCTAAAAAAAGTATTCTGCACAACAGTCAAAGACGTTATAAAGCATTCTAGGTTACTATACATATGCAATTACATATATGATAGTATATACCTATAAAATGTATGTAGGTACATTTAAAAATGAAGCTTCCATATATTTGTATTTTCCCAAGAAGAGGACTAAACAAGTGATTCTAGACTGTTTGGTAAAATGCATAGAGCTATTAAGAGTTCATTTTTGAACGATACTTCTATTGTAGCTTCCTCTTGCTCCCTTAGCCCAGGGCAGCTAGGTGACAGAAATATAACAAATCTACATAAAACCCATAAAATTTTACATAAAATCTTCATAAAAACTCTACAACATTCTTACAGATATTTCTCCCTTCTTCAATTTACAGAGCCCAAACTAAGTATCCAACATCACTGGGTAAAGCCATGAAAATTATTTCATCATTCCAAATTCAGGCCAATAAGTCATATATGACCATATAACAATAGTTTTGCATGTAAGTTACAAAAAAAATTACCTTAGAAGTCACATGTATTTGCAAGCAAAGAAAATGGCTTCAAAATCCTGCTTCAAAAATGTTACTTCTCAGAAACAGTGTAAATTCTTTCCTATTCTAAGAATGGACCACACCACTTCAGAGATGCAAGGAGAAACCAAAAGAAACATAGAACAAAGTAAAATGTTTTTCCTCTGTACATTTTACTCCATTTATTTCCATACAGGTCCAATTGTTTTCCTCTGTCATAACCCCTTTAAAGACTTCAAGTCCCTGCTGACATCACCTGGTCCCTGGTTTGAACATCAAATATGAACACAGTGAAAATAAGGGATATGTTTTACTGCCTCTGTGCTCCCTGGAGATTAGGAAAAGCCAAAATTAAAAGAAATAGGTTTTGTATTGCATAGATGCCACATGGACAAAAGCAACTGGCTAAGTGGGGAGAAAGAAGTTTACTGAAACAGTAAAGAGATGGAGTTTGCCTCAAAAATGAAATTCTGCCTTTATTTAAGAAAAAATTCACATCAGTAACAAAATACTTCTCTGTTTTTCTCCTAGGATGATCTGGAAGATGACACTGTTTATCAGAACAGATGAGCATGTGAGGCAGTTCAGATTTGTTCAGTATTTCTGATGGAAGCAAAGAGGCAGATGAAGAAGTTAAGCTTATTCACACACTTCCTTTGCTTTAAAAACATAGGAGAAAGCCTTGCAGGGCAGTGTTCCTCAAGAGTATTTCCCAAACAGATCACCAAAACCAAGTGTACTGCACATTACATCTATGTTATATACTATTCCCATTTTCCATTCTGCAAGAACTGTAGGAAAATACTTAATCTTTCATAAGATAACTGCTAATGCTTCATAAAAGTTTCCTTTTTCAGTTTAGATTTACTTCTATATTTTTTTGCCTTTTTACATAAATTTACATGTGTTCCTTTTACATGAATTGAGCATTTGTGAAAGACGTATGATAATTGAGAGCAACAGAAAATAAACTTATTTAATAGGTGAAATTCTGGTTTTAGTCACGTTAATGTAATAGTTATTGATGTAACAGATACACAGATCAACAATTACAGAGTCTTAACAACAGCTTAAACAGAGCAAACCCTACGTGTTCTGTAGACAAGCAAACAGAAGAACTAGACAATATAAATAGATGTACTATCGTGGTAAAGCTCATTTAGAATGGGAGCTTCTTCCCAGCCTATTTAGGAAAGGGAAGTAGTGGTCATAATGAGAAAGTTGCTCCTGCAATATTAAAATTCACGTGCTAAACAGACAACCCCCAGTCCTACTATCCAAAGTCAGGATTACCTGGACCACCAAGTTTTGTCTTATCATGCCTGCTCAAGACAGATAGAAGCATGAACACAGAAGTATACTACCTAGTCAAGGTAGTATAAATTTTTTTTTATTAAAAAAAATAAAAATACCACCTCCGGTTTTAGCAGTTATTATCTAGCCAATCTACAAAAGCAGCATTTTTACAAGAGATCTGTTGGTATCACGCATTCTCCCTACTGAAGAAGAGCTGCATCTTTTATCATCATTGAAATAAAGCAAGGGTTTGTTTAGCAAATGAAATGGCATTTCTCACTTCAGTCAGATGAGAACTGACAACCGAGAAAAAGCACAGGTCCCTCTGGCACAGTACTGTGTTTCCAGCTCAACTTAGTACCAAGTATTTCAGGAAGATGAAAAACACACCTTTGTCTTCTTACCCATCAATCCATCACAAGGACATGAAGGTGTCCAAGAAAAATTTCACAATCCCAGGCTGCTAGTGTTTACTATTTCTGAAGTACGGTGTCACTGAAATTTTTACTTTAGAGAAATTTAAAGCAGTCTAGTTGTATGATATCTAATAATGCCTTTATACAAATACAATGTTTATGTTAAGAAATACGAAGGATTTTTATATGACCCAATGGGACACCTATTAAAAATATGAAGTTATAATAATACATGGTCTTATGGGACTAGGCTAATACCTTATGATTTATCCGGCGTACTTGCCAAATTTAGACATGAGCAACAAGTGCATTATTTGTTGTTCTGCATGCTGAAAATAAAACTCTGAAAAGCCCCAGAAAGAATTTATGATTAAGATACTTTGGACTCTAGGTGTCACTGTAATTCCAGAAACAGTAAGCACAGAAACATATTTTACTTCCTCCTCCACCTTGCTTTGTTCTCTTAAAGCAAGTTTCCATAATTAATCTCCCATTACATTATGTGTAATAACCCAAATATCTCATTTTCATTCAAATAATTTATCCATGTCTAAAAACTAATCTATACACACTGATCAAACACCTTACCTGCCTCATCTCTTCCCCATTTGCTCCCCCCTCTAAAATTCAAGTTTCTCCACGCAAGTCCACACTGTTTATAATTAGCTGCTACAAGAAGTTACTTGAGCCATTAAATGCCCTCCTCTTTGAATGTTCCAAGTATATGGTTTTTGTTAAATATAAAGCATATGTGCGATCTAACACTTTTTAAAATGCATCATCTTGTAGAACAGCTGAATGAAAATAAGGAAATTCTATAATCATTTGTACATCACGAAGACAGTCTGGCAGTTTATTGCCTATTTCTTTAGACTAGTAGTTAAGTAGATCTTAAATGGGAAAGCAGTGACAGTAACTGTTGGTGTGCCGACTTGCACTGTCTAAAGAAGTTTAAATGGGTCCATATCCATGATAGTGGTAAACAGACTGAATATGTTAATAAGTTTCAGAATGAATTAAGGAAACAAAACTGCCTTAAGCAAAGTGATTAATCTGCTACAAGTCACCACCACAAACAAAAGTATCACTTTGGTCTACAAGGCATCTTACAACAGCTTTCAACTTTCAACAAGTAGGAATGACCAAGCTCAACAATGACAGAACAGGTTTCCAGTCCCTTGGGATTTATAAATTTAACACTTTATTCTCCCTCCAATACACTGTAGGAGAGTAATGATAGGGAATAAGTGGACTTAAAGTAGTTTCCTCCTTAATCTATCTACCTCCTGTTGAGCCAAGAAGTTGCATGTGGTTGTCATGTGGTTACCAACAAAACGCACAAAAGTAGATGCTAGGTGCAGTAATGATTGCATAACACAATGACACATAGTTTTGAAGGCACACAAACAAAAAAGCCACCCAAATTTCTCAATTTCTGCTTCTAATACACCAGTGAAAGACTAGAGAGACGTTGCTATTATTCAGAATTTTAAAGAATTTTTAAAAGAGGAAGCCATATTGTTCCACATTATAGGAACAATAAGTTGAACCAAATATGCTTGAAATACTGTACAGATGCATAAGTCAACCCCTCAGCTCATTTAAGACACACTACTTTTCAGAATAGTTACAAAATTATATGCTCAAATACTGTATTTTAAGCAATTCTTCATCTGATGGCATTAATTTTTATACTTAAAACGTTTTTTTACCCCTTCTCCCACCAAAATACCACTGGCCTCTAAAAAGAGCAAAGCAGATTCAGTTTGATGCATTTGCGATTGCCAGAATGTTAAGGTTATTAGTTGTGCATTTTTGGGGCATACATGCCTTTCCACAGACAAGTCTTAATACTCAAGGAGAGCCAGTGTCCAAATGATGACTGATGAAATTCAAACCACCTTTAGGGTGCCTCAACCTGAATCCACAATCACAGACCTGTAAAGTTTCTAGTCTAGTCTTTTTTTTGAAGTTAAGTCTTACGGACAGATTGATTTGAAAATCTCTCATGTATTTCTTTAAAAATGCAGCTAGGGGAAATAATGGAGTTTTGGCATTGAATTGTACTTTTTTGTTCCAGTTACACAATATAAATAGCGGTTGATGCTTTGTATTAGTAGGGGTCTGTATTTTACTTTGAGAGTTCATGTTGGAAAGTAAATATTACCTCCCTGTGATTTTGAGGTGCGGTTCATCTGGAACTCTTGAAACAGGGTGACCTGAACTGCTCTGTTCAGCATTACAGACAATTCTGATGGCTTTGCGCAACGGTCACTAGAGACAACAGCGTGACCTATACAACAGCAGCAAAGGGCCCTAATCAGAGATGAGTTTTCCCATGTTGGTCCAATACAGCTCAAATGTGGCAACCTGCAGAACAGGATATGTGACCTCAATATTTGAGCTTTTTGGTGGTGCCAACAACATATGTTGGAGAATTAAGTAAACAGCTTACATCATGTGGCCTGTTTACCTACAATTTCATACTTCTGAACATGCACCATACAAGTTATTTGTAAAAACCAAATAGAAGCATGCCAATTATTTATTAAACATTTAATTTGGGATACTATAACCGACAAACGTTTTTTTTAACTACGTAAATAGGTACTAATCTGTGTACTTACCATTTTCCACATATGGGTGAAATGGCAGAACTAATGCGAGAATGACTCTGCCTCTAGTTGGCTCCAGTACACTTCGAATATCTTTTAATACGGTCAGTGGCTGATCACAGCGATCCAGCAAGTTCAAACAGCTGATAACATCATACTGAAATCCTATGTTTTGCCATTCATTTATACCCAGCACCCTAAAAAGGGAGAGAGATACAGTCTGGTAAACAAACACAACCTGAGTTCAGAGAGAACCACTGAAGAAAAAAATTCCCCATAAATTGTTGATACTGCAGGTAAGATCAGCCACCTAGGCAACAAGAAGAGGCAAACATGATCCTTCTGGTCTTTTGGAAAAGAAAACTAAATCAACAAGGGGCATGGCTATATATCCAGCCATATGAACCTTTATATTGCCTTAAAATCATCAGGCAACAAAGGAAACAAAAACCAAAAACCTAGCTATTAAAAAAAAAAAAAAGTGTTGTCCTAGAATAAAACTGAAAATGCTTCTCAGGAAACAAGAAAGCTGAAATATGATTAGCAGCTTGCTGCCTTTTATCCACTCAGATTTACCAGTGTGCAAACCCAGAGCGCAAAGCAGGTGTTATGTTTCCACTCAAAGACAGGTGAAGAAACAAAATCCACAGTTCCTTCATTCTTTGTGTTGAAGTCTGGGGATATAGTGCCTGAAATACTAGCCATTAATCAAAAAAACTGGATCTGCTGCCCACAAGAACCTCCAGGAGCTGTGACAAGTGCACGAACAAAGTTCTGAAAGTGCTGAGGTTTTCGTTACTAAATATTATTCAATTTTAACAGCAGGAGCTAAGTATAGCATGTATAAAAGAATCTTTACACTGTGGGATTAGACACAGATCATTGAGATATTGCGATTACCAGGATGGTTTCCTTTCTCTGCAGTGCCTGTCTTCGTCTTGCAATTTTGGAGTTATACTGAGTTATACTTGTTGAGTTATAGTTGAGTTATACTATTATTCTGAATTTCATCTTCCTGTCTCCATGGATTAAAGCAATTTAGGCAAGCTATGAAGAAGAGACTTCAAAAGAGTAGTTGCCTATTTTGTCTTAACTGATAACAGGGAACATCTGCATAAGAAAAGCACTGGTAACAGGGAACATCAGACGTGTTTGTTTTCCTGCTTTTGTATAGGTTAACCTTTTCCAGAACAATCAAACAATACAGGAATTCACTGAAAAGACTGAATATTCATTAAATATAACAAATAGATTACTTTGATGTAATGTCTGATAGACAGGATGTAGGAATCATTCAGTACAATACCTGTATTTCTTCTTCTGAAGCTGCCATATCATTGTTTCAGACAATTCAGTGGCATAGATTTCTTCAAAGTGCGGACTCATGACTTTAGTGACTTCTCCATCCCCAGCCCCTAAATCAAGAAGTCTGTGGGATTTCCATTCTGGATTTATTTTAAGCAGTCTTTGAAATTGTTCTGGGGAAAACACAAACATTGAGCCTCTTCCCAGTAGCCTGAAATGTAAAAATGAGAAATGACCAATTTGGTACAAGCTTAAACAGAAAGGACAATAAAGTAATTTAGAATGTGCTTTGGCAGCAACCAGTCACACATAATAGCATACAAGGTCACTGCTCAGACAAATTTTAAATCGAGTTCAACTCGCCCTGCACTTGTCAGAGATCAAACACAAAGCCACATGCAGTTACAGTGGGTAAGACTTCAGGAGGAATTTGATTAGGTGAGGAAGAACTCATGGGGTGCAGCTCAAGAAAATGATTGCATAAAAAAAAAAAAAAAGAAAGGAGGAGGGAAGAGAAAGAGAGGGAAAGATAAAGGCTGAGCCTTATTTGTCTGTCACATTTGCAGATTTGAATCTCTGCCATCTACCTTAAAAAAAAAAATAGATGATATAGCAGAGGAAAAAAAATAGCTGCAGACACAGGAGTATGCACAATGAATGAGGAATAGGATGTGGAACTAGGAGGGAAGCCAGGGAACAAATTTAAAGAAAGGATGGGGGTAACGCTGCTGGAGTGGCAAAAGACATTTTTTAATTGTATGTTACAATGGCTTTTGCTGCTATCTGCAGATCTTGCATTCAACATGAAGAGCTGTGGAATAGAAAATAGGCAACTTATTAAGGAACTGAGATGAGGTGACAGTTGGATTCCTTATGGACTAAGTCAATGACATATCCGCCCGAAACTGTTTGAAGACTATATAGTGACAGATTTCAGCTGTCATAGCACAATTCAGAAGATGAAAGAGCTAGGACAACAAGCAGAGGGAAAAGAACTGGTCAGAAATAGACTGAAAGTAGATAAATACTATTCTTTAAACTAATGCTGGATAGCAGATTAAACAAAGACAATGAACAGAAATCTTTTACACTCAAGGAGAAAAAAGGGTAAACAAAGATAAAAAGAATCAAAGAATAAAAAAATGCGAAGAGGCGGCCTAGGAAAGATTGACTGTACTAAAAACCAAAGAAACAAACAAACCAAAAGGATAGAGTATACAAAGTCATCTAGAAGAAACTAAAGCAGGATATTAAATGTATAAAACTAAACAGAATACAGCCACTTTAAGTAGAACCCCCTTCCAGCACACTTGTGCCAGTCCACACTGTATAATTGGCTCATGGCTATTATTCCTAACAGCACTATGAGGTGTTATTCAAAGACTGAGGAGCCTTTGAAAAAAAATGCAAGAGAAAGGAAGAAAAGACCAAAGGAACCCTTATATGGATCTACCAGTAACTAAGAACACCACAGGGAAGCTTGTAAAGTCATCTGGTTAGAAAATTAAAAAAAGATTATTTTATGAGCCTTAGTAGACAGCTACTAGCCTCATAGCAGACTGTGCAGAAGTATGTAGTAGGTGCAGAGGTGGGCAAGGTGAAGAAATCAGGTTAATGTAACAAAATGCATTATTTGTAAGGTCAAAACTGATAACCTGTTAAACATATGTCTGAATGGGGGGCTGTGAGCAAAAAAAGGCACAGACTTTCTTGGAAAAAATACTAGAGCACCCATGAACAGCTAAACTCCTCTGCAATCACAGAAGAGACTGATGAAATAAGACTTGAAGAATATTGTCTTATAAACTACTCTTTTCCTGCCTTCCTGACCTTTCATCAGTAAAACATGCATATCAGAAGACACCTGTTCAAGTACAGTTTACACACAAACTGAGGTAAAATTAAGTTTTACAGAATAAGAGAAAGGACCGAATTCTGTTCCACATTAGTGTTACCAGACACAACACTCGGCCAACTTCTGCACTGTTCAGAAATGTGCCTAGGTTTGCAGTGGGTATGCTGCTAGAAAGAGTTTCAGATGCGACACAGAACTGATTGGATACAGCCACCTTCAACAAGGACAGTCACAGCAGTGATAGGGCAGTAGGTAAAGGGCAAGGGGGCACGGGAAAGAAAGCAAAGGGAAGAAAGAGGCATTGTCTAAGACAAAGAGAACACTCTCTTATTCTGAAGGAAATTAATACAAGTAATGGTTATAAAATACTATCTCTTATTAATTGCTATTACCTCCTCCATCCCCCCATACTGGAAATAGTGTTCTTCAATTGAGAGGGCTGGGTGTGAAGAGCACAGTTAGAGCATTTCAGATCTGTTAGACTAGCAAAGGAGAAACTACAAATTTAAGAAAAGCTGACAGATCAAGTGGTAGGGCTGAACACTAAATCCTAACTGTATTTAGTTTACCTAAGACTGACTTTTCACTTACCCATTGATAGATGTTCTAGACATAAAGAGGCTAAAAATCGAGGACACAAAGGAGTGGTAGAGCTGGATAAACAGCCAGCCTGATTTCTCAATGCTGTTGATTAGGAAGATCTGTGTTCCTTGGTCAAGGTAACTCTGGACAAAAATAGGCTGAAGGGATTCAGACAACTGTTCTGTGTTGCAGACATACCACTAGAGAAAGAGATAAAGGATCATTACAAAGTTCAGCAATACAAAATGAGTAGTAGTTAAAAAAACTGAGTATTTGAAAGGCTATTACCAATATCTGTAAATATAAACATTTAGGTTTTCCTATAGACTTTTCAACAAGCTTAAGGATTAATTTAACTTAGACTTAAATTGTAATCAAGTGAGGACCAATTACTTGCCAAGAAATAATGCTTTTAATTTTTGTCTTAATCATTACTCTGTACTTTGAAGAATTCTACAAAGTAACTTTCCTAGAAAGCACAGGTCCTCTGTGGAACAGCACCATGCTGATAAAATAGTATGACGTGGGATAACATTGTTTTCTATCTTCCAATTCATTCTCAACTTTTCCCTAGGCATCCTCTGAAAAGAAATCAGCAAGTGCATTTCCAGTATTTTTCCAGGAAAGGAGACAAAGAATCCAATCAATACTTTAAACAGCAGCTTGTCTGTCTTACAGCATTGCTGGACTATGTATCTTCAGGTCCGCAATTCTTTTGAAACAATTATGTCTATGAAACTGCCTCCCAGCATCTCTACTAAACAAAGGATCAGGTTCCCACGTTGAGGGAGCCATCAGTATCAGCTGAAAGGCAGTTCTATGCTTCTATATTGGTAAAACGCAAAGCCCAATGTAGAATGGGCCAATGATTCCTTTTGCCTCATGTTACCTGGTAACAAGCACTCCTATACAAACTAAACTAACATCACAATTAGCTGAATGATAGCTTGTGTAAGAGAAAGGTAAGAGAAAATACATCCATCTACCAAAGCTTTGAGAAACACAGGCTTTGTTCCATAAGCAGTGTGACTACATGTATGCTGTACCTGAGCTCACACACCTCGGTTCTGCACCAAACTGTCTGTCCCCTGTAGTTCCAGATTCTGACCACGGAAAAGTCCTACAATTCTTGACTTTAAGACTTCTAAATATAGATATATATTGACATAACCATTGGAAGAACACTGATGATGAGAAGAGAAACTTGTTTCCAGAAATTAGGTGCTGTTCTCAGACCTCCTCTACTTTCTTCTTCACGGTTAATCTTGCCAATGAGGTTATTGGCAACTACCTGTATAACTCTAGTGAATAATAGAAATGATAGCAAACTCTAAGAAGGAAAGAAAAAAGCAACACAGCATAAACCAAATCCAAATTTCGAATAACAAGAGTGGCAAAAGACATCTTAATTCTGGAACCACTTCCTCAGAACAGAAACTGCTTTTGTTTTCTTCCATGTACAATATAAGACAAGTCCTTTTCAGGGCACTAGTTTCATGACAGAAAGTGTATCAATCTCTTATAGCACAATAGTAGAAAAACTACAGCACAAAAATCTGAAAAGGTATATTAAGACCTTTGTTATAACAAAAATTATTATTACTATTGACAACTTTTGCCTAATATTAGTGAGTGGAATAAAACATTATTTTAGCTAACTACATAAAACAAAGTCAGTAACACTGCAGAGGGTGAAAGCACCTGGGGCCTCAACATGCAATCCTTACTTATGAGTAAACCCACAAACTCAGTAACCGTAAATCTTACTAAACTTACTAAATAATCAATATTTTAGGTTTAAAATCTAAATCAAATAAAGTAGAAATTGAGAGTATGCGCTGGAGAACATCTACCTGTGAATGACACAATCATCTCCATAACACATTTCCTTGGCTGACCTGTCTTTCTAGCGCAGATTTTAACACCACAAAAGACTTTCAGATTTTCTTTGTTCGCCAGAGGGAAGTTCTTTCTGTGAATCTAAGTTCTGCTTCTCTTTGTCATCCCACTTATGTACTGGATGATCCAAACAGCAGACCATATTAAACTCCAGTAATACATTCACTCAGCAGAAAGATTCCGGTTGTCAGTGCCCACCCAAGCACTCCAGTAATGGATCAGCCTGAAGAATTATGACGCGTAATTATGGTCTTCCTTTGTACATCTGTCCTCAAGTATTTATGCTACGTCTTCTCAGCTCGGGTCTCTATGTTTTACTTAGAATAAGTCAGTATTTTCCTTTGGCACTGAGAGTTTTTATTAGCTCTTCTGAACTCCTGTCAGATTTTCAGTAGCATTTTGGTAAAACGTAGTGCAGATCTGAACATATTCCAAATGCAATCGTACCACATAATCACTGTACAGCAGGGCCATAGTCCCTAACTTCTCCACAAAGTACTGATCCACGTGCCTTTACTGCCCAAACACAGCATGAACCCTTTATGCAGCCATATCGCATCCCAAACTCATCTCTAGTTTGTTGTTCCCAGGCCTACAGCTTCACAGTTTCCCAGCTGCTCACTGCTTTATTCTCCTCTAGATGCACCAGTATTAATTAACACATCTCTGCTGCTGCAAACCCATCCCATTCCGCACCACCTGCGAACTTCACTCAGCGGTGCTCGCCCACGGGCTCAGAGAACCGTTCGCACCCCTCGGGAGAGGCCCCGACCCGCCCTTACCGGCCCGGGGACCCGCGCCGCTGCCCGTCCCGCCCGCCCCCGCCCCCAGTGGGCTCCGGGCACGTCAACTTTCTCCTCGGGAAGACCTAGCCGTTCCCTCTCTTTGTCTGCCGCTGCCGGCCCCGTGCCCCCCTCGGCCCGCACCAGGGTCCACCTCCCCGCGGCGGCCAGTACCTCGGGGCGCCCCGGCAGAGGAGGCCCCGCTGCCCCCAGCGGAGCACCCCGGCTGCCGGGGAAGAGGGGGGAGGCCGCCGTGCCTGCAGGCGGCAGACGGGAACCGGGGAGGGAGGCGGGGGGGTGGGAGGAGCGGCTGCCCCCGGGGCTGTACCTGGTGGTTCTCCCCGGCGCTCGGGGCGGGCTGGCCGCGGCTGCCCATCACGTTCACGTAGAGGGACCGGGATAAAGGGCTCCTCAGGTACCTGGCGGGGCCAGACCACATCCTCCTCCTC